GGCAAGAATTTTCACGGCAAACATGCCAGATACGAATAACCACTTGGCTCCTTCTCTGGCTTAGCCAAGAGTGTAGGGTTATACGATGCCTCTGTCATGTCAAATTCTCAACATGTCGTCTGCGCCCTTCAGAGATGCCTCCCAGAACCTAAATACGGGGACGCCTCCTGGGAGGAGCCTCAGCTCGAGTCTTGCTGCCGTCTTCGGAGCTGTGTCTGTTCCTCCTAGCCCGAGAACGAGAAGAGTTGGTACTATCCTGCGGATCACTGTTGTTCTGTGCTCCTCCACCGACACCACTAGTGCCGGTGTTGAGCGGCATATGGGCGATGCGAGAAGTACCGACTGCGGTATCGCTTCCTCTTCCCTCTTGCGGCTGCGCCTGGCCCATGAAGCCAATCCCACTAGTGAGCTCGGGAGAACTCGGGCTAATGTACCGGTGCAGTGTGTGTTCCAGATAATCCATGGGTTGACCGGATAGCGGTGACGAGCCGAGGTCATTGCTCCTGGCATCATCGATGCACTGACCCTGAACATTTGGGCTCACCAAACCGCCAGAATAACAAGGGTGGTATGACTCGTGATCATTGGAAGGCATGATGCTTGGAGGGTGTCCTTCGTCGGGGAATATAGCTCGGACCTGTCGCCGATGGCTGATCGAGCCGGGTAATGGTGGGTAGGCCGGAGCATGCGGTTGCGAAGTTCCTGCCAAGGGAACCGTTGAAGCAGCAGAGTCGCCCATTGCGCGGCCGAACTGAAATTTCAAATCGTCGCTGTCCTGGTCTTCTGGAATATCATCGTAGCGATCCACATCCTGTTGGGCATTCTGCAGGAGATGCGTTGCTTCGTCGTCAGACTCGTGATCGTTGTCTTCACGCTCTCTCGCGCTGTCATCAAACTCTTCAGCTTCGTAGTCTGTCTCTTCCGCCTCGCCATCGCCGCCCAGATCCTCACTGGCTTCGGCGTCCCACTCTTCATCTACGAAGCTGCCGTCCGGATTCTCCTAATTATCAGGCTTGGCGGCCGCGGACGAGTCGTTTGGGGCAGGAGCAGAAGCGCCAGCAGTACTTGTGCCCTGATCTGGAGCACTCTTCGCAGCAGCGGCTTTACCCTTGGCATCCTTGACGACTTTGTCGAGTCTGGCCGCCTTCTCCTCATTGTCCTTCATCTTGGTCGCTTTCTTCTTGTTGCCCTTGTCGTTGACAGTCTTGCGTTGTTTCTCTTTGGTCGGGTTACCGGCAAAACGCTTCTCGCTGTGGGCGACGATCAGGTTGGCCACTGCTGCTTTTGAAGTCTGTGTTTCGATGAAGCGTTAGTTGCGGCATCTACGTATGCGAGTCTCTCCAGAACTTACTTGAAAGAATTCCACCATGTCATTCCAGCGAGCCCGCATGGTAGGGTACTGCTTGTACTTGAATGAGGTGCACCAAGGCTTCACACCCGGCTTGCCCTGTTGAAGGTTTCGGGCCTCTCTCTAGAAGGGGGGAAACCCCAAATGGATTAGTCTTCATTTGGTGACGAATCCGGCCATAAGGATGGAGGAGGAATGTTGATTTCCACTTACGTATAGCACCCACGCAATATCCTGGAACACCCTTCCACTGGTTGACTTGACGGTACCTACCTTGTGGTTGCTCGCTTTCTCAATGATGTCCTGGGTGTTCTTCAGAGCATCAAACATTTCTCGTATATACACGGCTTGCTGTTGTCTCGTTTGTGGAATATCCGCGATTGCCGAGGCCGCTGGTGTCCTGTTGTTGATACTCTTTGTTATAGCCTCTTGAGACCAAAAGTCCACCTCGGATTTGATCGAGTCCGGGAATGTTTGGTCGACAGCACCCTTCACATTGGTGTTCCGATTGATCCTCTCGTGGGATGCCAGGCTGTCCATGATCTGTTGCCGAAGTCGTGGCCTTGTATGGCTGATCCCAGCAATGGCGGACTCCGACGAGTTGCTTTCGTGATGAACCAAAAGCCAGCTGTAGGCTCTACGCGCGAAAGGGTCGAAGTCGTCGCCCCAATTCTTCAATGCTTCCAGAGGTCGCACGGCTCCGTTCGCCATAGCCAAGTTCTCTTGTATATAGACTATGTCGTCACGGTTACCGTCAGTCTTATGTCGCGTTTCTTGTTTCCGAAAAAGTAAAAACTCACGAATGATTTCCCAATATGTCGCCATTTGGGGCAACCTTTCCGCTGCAGCCCATTCAAGGGCTCTGACGAACCCAAAAGGGCTAGCTACCTGTACAGCAGGTGGATTTTCTGCTACAGGATGGCTCCCCGCCATGCTTGTCGTCCTCTCGATTTCTGGAACTTCTCGAGCGAACGCTTTGTTGTCCTTCAACACTGCGCGACCTGTCTTTCTGATTGGATTGAAGTCTCTGTCGCGACTGGCCGAGAATGGAGAAGGCTAATGTTCTGGACGTGATGGAAAGGTCAGTAGTTGCCTCCCATCTCCCTCAACTTGGATGATTGGGGTAATGAAGCGCGTATTGTCCAACAACTTAAGGCATGGATGTATATAGGGACGCGGCAGCATATACTCGAAGCGAAATGCAATTTGCGAACCTTTTGAGCCGGATAGAAACAATGGATGGGATGATGAAGAGGATGGATATAGTCGTGAGAAAGAGTGGGAGGGGTCTTACCTCTGGCGGTCTTCTCGGGAAGATCAAACCGAAGTCGGGCTAGAGGCAAAACGTCTGATCAACAGGGTATTGGCTGGATGACGATCGGCCACTTGGGCGAATAGACTACGTGCACTTGTCTTTGTGGTCGGAGGAAATGCAAATCGAGAAGGAAAAGGCGTGTTTGAGGGGAAAGAGATGGGGACACGGACAACGGGGATTTAGTGGGGTGTTGATTTCGCCGGTCGGCGACGAACGAAACCTGTCGCTTCGCGCGCCTGCTGATACAAAACAGATCAGAGTTCCAGTCTACAGAACACCCATTGGTCGCGACAGTTGTTTCTGGAAAGCTTCCGATGCGTACATGATTTTCCTTTGTGAATATCAAGTGTCTTCAATCCTCTCTATCCCTTGCCGGTTTGCTTCGCATCATCAAGTCACCAATGACCAGTCCCGTCTCGCTTTGCCCACCCCCTTTCCTTAGTTCTCATGCTCACCCTAATCCATCACAATCACACAAACCCATTTCCCACGATCATTGAGTCAGGTCCATTCCATACTCGTCCTCCTCTTTGAACTCCATGTCATCACCATCGTCCTCATGCTCATGGAAACCGCTCGCATCGAGCCTGTCTGCCGTAGGCCGATGTGAGGTACTTTTGTTAATATGACCATTGGTAACACGGCCGTTGCTGGACTGGTGGCTGCCGAGTCTACCACTAGCAACTCTGCTAGTGGGCTGGTGGTGACGTCCAGGGTTGGACGCCACCACGGTCTCCGGCGGGGGGGTCACGGGGACCGAGTAGAGAGTTGCGTAAGCCAGGACAGGCGTGGAAGCCGCGATAGGTCCGGTCTTCTCAGATAGAGGTAGTCATGCTGATCCGGCCGTTGGTGATCCGGCCGTTGGTGGTGTGGTGGTTGGCGACTCTGCCTCTAGCAACTCTGTCTGTTAACGGTGAGAAACTACTCGCAGCTTTGGGATTCCCCCATATTGCCGTGTTGTTCTCATGGATCATGGAAGCTTACCTTGGCACCAACTGGTTGTGGTAGTCACTGATGGGATGGCTGTTTCTACTGATGTTCGCGCTATTGTTACCACTGCTCTGGTGGTTGATGTTGACCACAATGCCGTTGCCGATATGGCCGGTGACCGTGACTGATGTTGGTAAGACTGCTCAGTAAGGCTCCTCGCGCTAAGTATGACGGCCGTCAATATTAATTCCAGGAGTGGAAAGAATGATGAATGCAAGTAGAGAGGAACAGGGCGTCATATCATGCAAAAAGAGTGAGAAGGAGATGCTATCAGGTTGGATGAAGGGGTTGAAACGGGACAAGATTGGTAGTTGTGAAACATGAGCTTACCTTAGGTACCTTTGATCGATTTTCAGGAAAAGCTGTAGATGTTGGCGGCACCAATCAGATGTGCTGGATTGCTCATTGTGACCTCTGGAAAAGACATTTGTTTGGAGGAAGGTGAGCTGTACAGAATTAAAGAAAGAGACGCGATGAAAGGTGACAAAAGATGTTGGTAGGTAGGTAGGTGTAGAGTGAGTAAGAAGTGGCAATGAGTTAATTGTTGATCACTTGTTGAGTTCGACGCGCTGTTGCAGATTGGATTGTTTGGAGGAAGGGAGAAGATGAAAAGAAAAAAAAAGAAAAAGAATTGTGCGTTGGGTGGGGGAACATGAAAAGAGTATGCCCTACCTCCATCCTGTTCCCTTGCTCCTTCCAACATTCTACGAAACAGCCAACATGAAGGCACCCCGTACTCCCCCCGCTGACCCCAACACGTCATCTTGTGCTCCCGTCTGCCTCTACCTTGACCCAAGGCAGCTACCCGTGTCTAGACTCCCTCCCTCCAGGTATATGTATTAGGTCTTTGTGCCTACTTTCCAACAACAACAACCAACAAACAACCAATGTGCGGTTGGCACAGTGGTCAGCGCGTTCGCTTCCTAAAGGTTGGCAACCTTACGGAATCGAAAACGGCACCGATGGGTGGGACCGGGGGGCAGCATAGACGTATGTTGCCTTGGGAACCGCGAAAGATCCCGGGTTCGAATTCCGGACCGCACACATTTCTTTTTTTTTTTTCCCTTTCTTCCTGCCGTTTTCTTTTGCGTGTCTGTCTTGCCTTGGTTATAGTTCCTCTTCATACTTTGGTCCTTTTCAGTCTGTGATTCCCCGGATAACGGTCGTTCCCGACACAATCTTCCAGAAACATCTCGGTTTCTTCCACTCTACTCATCCTCAGGGGCACCCTAGAGGTAGGTTTGACATGACCACAGCTATATCATTCACCTAACCTCCCGTACCTCCTGTTATCTGATCTGTGCCACTCAATCAACATCATCCGAAATGCCATCGTACAACTTCCAGATGTCGACCATCCCCTTGAACATGGCTTCCTCCGAAACCACCATCCCCATCACGTTTTTAGTCTATGACAGCACCCTAATTACCGTCGGGCTTGCCATTTGGATCACTATCGGGCTTATAGGGTGGACTCTCATTACGCATAACGACAACACTCACAAATATCACGAAGAGCATATACGGCTTTTGAATAAGCTCATGGACATCAATTTGCGCACAATCACCCTTATGCAGAAAGTTTACACGGGCGATCTGGAGCTGCAAAGACGGATGACGAAGGCGCTTGAGCAGTGTCACTGGTGTAGCCATATGATACCGGAGAGACGCACGCCACGAACACAAGGTGCCTAAGCACCGGGCGTTCAAAGGGAAGGACAGGAACAGAGCTCGAGCAGTACAGTACACTACGGCGTTGGGATGGCTCTCTATCGAGGGGGTGCACACGCGATGAGTCCACGATGCAGTGGTGATCAGGTGAAGAACGCCAGAGCCGGAGGCGTATAAAGATTGGGGCCCAACTGATCAAAGAAATTCTACCAATTTCAATGGAAGGCGCTACAACGAACTCACGCTTCTTTTGCCTGTAAGTCATTCCTTCCTCATTTTCCCTCGTATAGCTGCACAAAAGTCTTATTTGTTCCTTCTTCTGTAGCAGACAAGACATGGAAGAGAACGAAAAGAGGGTGGTGGTTGCAAGTCAGTGAGAGAAGAGACAAAGTGACAGATGAAGGACTTGGTGGACGGAGGAAATAGGAGTCTCTTCCAATGCCGTAAATGAACAACCATGCACACGGTTTGGTCCGCACTAGACACTTCGGCTTAACCATTTAGAGGTAGTTAGTGCTGTGACAATACCCTAATATAATTAATCCCAATGTTTCCGTGAATATGCTAGTCCAGACAGAATCCTGCACCACATTGGCCTCAGTACCTCTCTAGCTGGACGATGTGCCTCCACTCAGTCTGGATGAGTAGAGGTAGGTAGTAAGTGGAAATGGCCAGTCCATCCGACGTAACTTGCTAGAGGTATTCTTTCTCAAACACTTGAAGCTCAATCTGATGGACTAAAGCGAGGCGGAATTCAGTAGCCAGAAGGAAACACTTCCTTACAGTTTTGCGCCGTCGAAGCTGGATGTGATGATCACCTGCACGATCAAAGAGGTTGTAGAGAAAGGGCCAGGAAGGGCACTGGGTGAAATGGTTCATGATTTCCATCATATCACATTCAATTGTGAAACAAACGAGATACATGTAGATTTCATGGAAGTGACCCATCTACCGTCTTCAGGAAGTTTCCCGTACTGCAACGAACCTTCTTGACTTGTGCCAACGAAGGATCCATCCAGCTTTGTCCGTGCTTCCTTCCCTTATCAAGTCGCCCTTTCTCCGTTAGGCCTCTACCCGAACAGACGCCCTTGCCGTGAATCAAACGAACTGAATGAATGCAATATCGATGACGTGTACAGAGGTAACCGGCGTGATTGAGCACAACCAGAGGTGATAAGCTTGCAATGAACCCATGAATGAATTCATTGTGAAGAGGGGAAGGCGAACATTGAAGATCAAGGCACCTTTGTTGTTTCTTGATATTGAACTACTAGAATGTCCTCAACACTACCTTTTCCTACCTGTCCATTCGAGCATTCCAGTCTCTCTTTGAGTGCAGCTCATATGGTAATCTCTACATGGCCGGATACCTTATATACCTCCAACCAGCCGTCTTTGCTCAGATTCATTCTTATCAGTCAGTCCATTTCATCTCCATCACTCTACTCCGACATCGACCCTCGTCCGTATCTCATTCAGAAACACATCCTGATCTTCAGAGACCAAGCAACCATCAACTTCCCCTGCATTCTGTCACAGACCTTGCAATGGACGACAACCCCCCCATGACAGTCATGACTGCCATCTACGGAGTTTCATTCGCCCTCCTTTGCGTCGTAATGTGGTTCTTTCCAGAACCCAAGCTCTCCGCCGTGTGCGGCATCTTGATTCTGATCGGCTGGGACGTCACCTTCCACTTGCGGGAGATCATCGCACTGCAAAAGGAGCAACTACAAGAGCATCAGATTGCCAAGTTGACGACAGACAAGATTGATGAGTATACTACTCTATACGGAACTCTAGTCGAAAAGGTCCTTGTCTTGAACAAGGACCTTCTCTTCCAAAACCAGGAGATTCTTGCTCATTCAAAGGAGAAACTTGCCCACGACAAGGACAAGCTGTCTCAGGAGAAGGAGACCCTTCCCCAATACAAGGAGATCGTTGCCATGCAAAAGGAGATTCTGGGCTCGAGGAAAGAGAGGGCTGACCAAAAGAGCAACGCGGGCTTGGCCCACGAGAAGGAGACACTTAACCAATACAAGGAAACTGGAAGCGTGCACAGGGAGTTACTTGATCAATGCAGAGAGATACTTGGCTGCCAGAGACGTCTAGTGTTGACAACGGACAGAAGTGCGGTTCTACAGTTGAGGATGGGGGATATGGTGATGGTACAGTTGAGGCAGTTGGATGTGTTACTCAGGAAATTGGGAGTGGAGGTGAGACCTCCTTTACCGCCTGGAGCTGGTCTTAGACCAAGCAGGCCCGGAGACCATGCGCAATGAGATGGTCAGAGCCAACTGCATTGAACGAAAGGAGCATGCAATGGCCGGAAAGAACAACACATTCGAGTTTTGGAGCGTAGAACACGATCTTGCTGCATTTGAGACGGTACGGAAGACTGGGCAATGGCGCTCAATGGGAAGATTCCTCATCTAGTGGAGGATAGGTGGATTTAGCATGGGGATAGGAAGTACAGCAAAGGCAGTGGTGAGGATACAATAGCAATAGGTAGAAGACACAGTGTACACTAGACACTTCGATTTATTGGCAGAACACTGTCACATAAAACGGTGATATGTCTTGTTTTCGTGTGGATGTAATTCCAGTCCGTTCATTTTATCCTCTATCACCAATCGTTAATATTAACGGGCTTCCAGTTCCAGTCTCCCACCTCCACTAAAATCTGCTTCTCCGGTTGCTTCCACTCCCCAGAATACTCAGGAGTTGAGCAGGTGGAAACAGTAGACATAGAGTCATCCTCGCTGTACACAGATTCCTCCTCGTCCGCCTCGTAGTCGTCATCGTCCTTTCCCTCCACCGAACCATCAGCGTCCAAAAGATTCTCGAGCTCCGTCGTGCTTGCACTTCCCCAGGCAGGTGCGTTATTCTTGCTCTGGAAGCAAGGACCCAGCGCTGCGTAACGCCGATACTTCCTCTTATTCTTCTTCTTCTCACCTACAGCTTTGGGAACACAGTCGAGGAACCCATGGGTGGGAAGCGGTAGTGCTTGCTTTTGCTTGATGGCTGATGATCTTGACTAATGATGAAGTGATCACGGTCGAGATGGTTGTAACTGCTTTGTCTACCACAGTTTGGGTGATGTGGCTGGCGGTTGTAGTGGCAGCTGCCATTGTGTTACTTGTCTGGCTCATCGTGAAGAGAAGGGAAGTTCCGTGTTTGAGGGTTGTGTTTCCTTTGGTGTAGACTTTCGGTGTGATGAGTCGACCGGTAGTGAGTAATGGAGAGGAAGATTGGTGGGATGGGTAACTGGGGGTAATAATTCAATATTTATATCTATAGAAAAAATATTCTACCTCTACGCAGTGAAGGGTTGGTATAGTGGGTCGTACATCAGTGAAGTGTTCTGAGAGAATCGGAACTCAAGGTTCAAAAGAGGAGTCTCCTTCATAGCGGCATGTTGGTGAATAGCTGCCGTGACGTGGGGGTGGGTAGGAGTGAAGGGTGAAGCGCAAACAAGAAGAAACCTTGAGAGTTGAGAGAAGAAATGCGTGCCGCTAGGTCCTTAAGTGACAAAAGGCGGTAGTAATAGTATAGAGGTAATGATGATATCCCTGTACCTCTACCGATGATACACATAGCATGCACCAGACACTTCGATTTGACTAGGGCCTACTGTGAAAACTTTGTGGTATTATTTGCTTTTTTTTGAAATTGAAGTCGGAATTCTTCTATCAAAGTTCCTACCATGGCTTTCTGTCGTTTTCCCAGTCCGATTCGTTTATCTTAATCTAATTCTCGACTGGATCTCCACCCCAAAATGCATGGGGATCACAGGGAGGGTCATCCTTCCTCAGCAATCCAAGGAGAATTGCCTTGAGGATACCGAACCTCTCGTTCTCATCGAAATGGTAATCGAGCATCCAATCTACTCGATACTCGATTGACCGGGCCCTCAGATCCATCTCTTCGAGGCCGACCTTCATCATCTCCTCTATCCCCTGGACCGCGGTTACAACCTTTTCTACGCCGTCGCTCGCCGTCTGATTTACCTCCTTCATCGCATCCTTGATGCCCTCGCTAGTTCCCTTCGTCACTGCCTTTGTAATCACCTCCACCATTCCCTTCGTCGCGTCCTTAAATCCCTCCTTATACCCATTCTTAGTGCCTTCCATGACTGCCTTCGTGATGATTTCCCCCATGCCCTTCATCGCATCTTTGGCGCCATTCTCGTATCCCTCTTTCACCGCCCCCTTAATAACTTCCGCCATAGAATTCATTATAGCCTCTGGTAGTACTTGGACACTTGTGACAACCTTCTCGACGCTTTCCCTGATCCCTTTGCTCTCCTCCACATGAGCGTGCTGACCTTTGACAAATCCGCAGCACTCTGCATTTGGTGGAGTTGGTAGGTCCGCGTTTCGAGCTTGGCCTCTCTTTTCTCCCGTTTCTCTTCCTTTTCTTCCCGCTTCTTGGCGAGTTGTTGTTCCCGGATCTTTTTACGCCGGAGCCATTTCATGAACTTCTTTTTGCAATATGTGATGGTGTATCCAATGAAGTAGATGATGGCTGCAATTACGGCCATGAAGGCGAAGATAGAGTTGTAAGGCTCAGGGATTAATGGTTTTGTTGCATCTGAGGTGCTGTCTTGTGATGGCGGTTCCTGGCTGTAGACGAAGATGGTGGTGGTGGAGACTGTGGAGGCCGTAGACGGCGCCGGTTGTACGACGGTCACCATGTTGGAGGACGGCATGGTGCTGATGGAGCCGAGGTCATTGCATCTGCTGACACCATTCTCGGTTGGGAATTGCTGGCAATGGCCGTTGGAGTGGTCGCAGATACTGGAGACATCCTGGCTCGAGAATTGTGTCGGTTGATAGTTTCCGAAGGAGTCCTTGGGGCTTGATGATGGTGAGTAATGCAAAGCAAAGTCTGATGAGATGGGTCATGAAGGAAAAGGGTAGGATAATTATAGGAACATGTCACCAAGGAATTCATAAGGCTATGCCTAGTAGTGAAGGGACTATAGTTGGTTGTATAGTTCAGAAACTAAGATGGAGAAGAGAAAACGCCGCCTGAACCTTGAGAACGGTGCATTGGTGCATGGGTGATGTGCGAGTGGGAGTAACCAGCAAGGTGTAGGATGAATGGCAGCTCTAGAAGCGTGTTACCTAATTGCTCTCCAGCTACATATACTTGCCTGTAGGTAAAGGCACCATTTAATGCACACACAAATGGCACTGTATCAGGACTGGCGACAAGTGTTCCCTACGAAGCAAACGGTAGCGGGACGGTGGATTGATATGACTATCTCTACCTCAAGAGACCCGTAACTGTGACAAAAACCGTGATTTCCATATCTCCAGTCTGGTCATTCATCATTGTTTCTACCAAGGCTTGTGGTCCTCCTCCCAGCCCGATTTGTCCACTACGATCTGGGTTTTGGCGGGATCTTCACCCCAGGATGACTGGGGAGCAGTGGAAGTGGCAGGTGAGGTAGAACCAACAAGGTCTAGTAGTCCCTGAAGAATTACCTTGAGGGTGTGGAATCGCTCGTTCTCATCAAGATGATAGTCGAGCATCCAATCGACCTTATAATCGACAGCCCGGGTTCTGTTGTCTAGTGCATCCAGGCCCACTCTGAACACCCTCTTCAACCCCTGGACAGCCGTCACCACCGACCTCATGCTGTCTGTCATCCTCTCCATCCCTTCTATTAGGCCCTTCGTCGCTTCCCTCCCCTCCATCCGCGACTCAAGGTCCTCAAGGCGTTGACACAACACCTTATTCTCCTCCTTCAACCCATTGTTCTCCAGTACCACCGAACCGAGGAGCTCCACCATCTTTCTGATTTCCTCGATCTGCTGAGTTTGATGGTCTCGCGCCTCCGCCATTGCTTTCTCCTCAATGCGCTGGTTTGTCACCAGCTGTCGCGTCAGCTCGGCCATCTTGTTGATTCCGTTGGTCTGTTGAATCTGATGGTACCGCGTCTCCTCTTTCCACTCTTGCTCTTCCTGTTGTTTGGCAATCGCCTCTCTTCGCCGTTGAAAGTAAAAGAGAATTGCCATGATTTGCTGTCAACCGAGCGGGAGGGTGTAAACAATCATGTAAAAGATGTTTGCCACCGAGGCCAGGAAGGAGGTGCCCGAGTAGTAGGGCTCTGAAACCCATGGCTTTGGTGCAGGCGAGGACGAGTTTGAGGAGTCAGGGGAGGCATTGGTTGTCATGGAGGGTTCTGAGATGTGGCCGGTGGTGGTGGCGGTGGGTGTGAGGACCGGCGCCGACTGGATGGATGTGAACACAGTCGAAATAATCGTGGTGATGGCAGTAAACGCGGTGGCAGCCATGGTTTATTGCCTGGTAGTTGCGGTGATAAAGCTGGTTGGAGTTTGGATGGCTAGCGACACTGAAGACATCTTGGGCTCTGAATTTGTGCCTAGAGGTACTGGTGTTTTTACTTCTGACCAAGTGAGTGCTTGTGGGTGGTGTTGATGGGTAACGGAAAGCAAGAATTGTGCGATGAGCAACGAGAGTTGAAGGTGGAATATTTATAGCGATCAAAACTGTGCGGATTTCGAGCGAGTGAAGGGCTCATGGCGGACCGTACATTGTGGTGGTGAAGTGTTCTGGATACCAGGTCCAGAGCCTCCACCTGGATTTGAACCTTGAGGGCGGCATCTTGGTGAATGGAGGTAATATCGCCTGAAGTTCAAGCGGCATTGAATGGTGAAGAGGGTAAGAAAAGGAACCTTGAGGATTGGGGAGAGAACATACCTTATATAGAGCTATTCACGGGACAGTCCATCAGGTTTGGTGTGGAGAGTTTCCCATTAAGCAAACGACATGTGGAAGTCGCGGCCATGCGCGGCCATTTCTTCCATGGGCAGCTTCCCCTTCACCGGCATCTGTAACCCTCTCTCCTCTTCCGGTCGTCTCCAGTGTGTGACAAGCGGTTTTCTGTTTTCGCATTTTCCAATCTCCAACACAAGAAACATGCCCACTTGAACAGGTATTCCATGCTGGATACCCAATCCACAATTCCCCAAACCAATGCGCTGCGAAGTGTGAAGGTTTGGCACATGGTGAACAATCACTATGCTGCAATCGCCTCATCACTTCCCCGTCTCATCCTCACAAACCAGGACACTTCATGCGGATGACCAAACCAACATGAAGTCGCAGGAAAACAGGCTTGCACCAAGCGATACGGGATCATTGATAGAGGTAGCTTCATCCAAGACTGAACTCCCAAGAAACGTACCAAACAAACGCTTGACCCTACAACTTAAAGACTCCCATGGTCCTAACTCCATCATCGTCACCTCATACCATCACCTGCCAGCAGACCACAAACACCACTTCAAACTCAGGGACATGCAAGGTATAACCGCCACTGCCCAAACCCAAACCACCACAACTTCGTACCACACAATATCATCTCCCCTCATTCCCTCCCCAATCCTCCCTCTACCTCTAGTAACCCATCTCTAATCCCTCCCCATGTGCATCACCCCCCTCACCCTCCCCACCACCTCCCTCACCACCTCCTCCACCCCCTTCTCCTTCCCCACATCCACAACCAGCACATCCGGCTCGCCCCCTTCCTCCTTTGGCTTTGTTGGATGCGGCATCTCCAAAATCGTAAACTGGCTATGCACCAAATTCTCCTTTGCAAAGTGTCCCTTTCTGTTGTGTGCTCTTTCTGTGAGCACCTCCTCGGGTGCCTGCAAAAAGATGAAGCGAATCCGCAAATCGCCGGCATGTTCAGACCCCAAACGGAGGATGTCGCGGTAGTGCCGCTTTAAAGCAGAGCAAGTGATGACGAGATGGGGAGACGAGGAGGTGGGTGGTTTGGCGGTTTCGTGCTCGGCGAGGGCTTGGAGCCAGCCTGCTCTGTCGGCGTCCGTCAGGGGTTCACCGCGGGACATTTTCTCGACGTTGGCTTTTGGGTGGTACTTTGAGTCGTGTTAGTTTGTAAGTGTGGTTGAGGTGGAGGAGGTGAGGTGAGGAGGTGAGGTTCACGATGCAGTGAGGTTCATGATGCAGGAAGCCATGTGTGAGGCTCCAACGGGAGAGGCAATTTGTCAGCCCTTACCCTCCCATTGGGATCTCGGCGATAAGTAGGTAGGGACCATGGAAAGAGACCGAAGGAGAGCGGAAGAGGTTCCGTCGTAGAGTACCGGAGGTAGGTACTGTCTGAAGGGACGGGACGGCGCAGGACGGGGTAGGGGAATGTGCAAAGACGGCATCGTGCAGTGAGTGTGCAAGCAAAGTCATAGGTTGGCTACAGCCACACGAACCCGCAGGTTAATGCAGTATGTGAAAGCAAGAAGAACTAAAAGAAAAAAAAAAGAAAAAAAAGAAAAAAAAAACTCACATCATCACCCTCGACATAAGTGAGATTCAAATTCTCCGCCAACGCCTTGGCGATCGTCGTCTTTCCACATGCCGTCGGACCCGTGACGAACCAGATCCATCTATGCTCATTCTTTGGTTTCTTTTCGGCGGCCGTAGCATTTTGTTGGTCGCCCAAGGGCTGCTGCTCGCCGAGAGCGGCGTCGGTATTCTGGACGGTCATGGTGGTTGGAATGTCGATGCTTGTAGGAAATAAGATACCTAAGCAGTGGGTGTAGTACTGTCGTGTGAGCAGGAGTTGACGAGGATATGAATCTACAATACTAAAGTAGTATATAGAGGTGGGTAGGTAGGCGGCTTGCAGTCGCGAGCGAGGCACTGTACAACGAACCGTGAATGTTTATTTACATGTCGATAGATAAAGGTCAACAAGTCCAGCAAAAAGTGCATGACGTCACCTCGGTTAACTCGGTAGCCGATTTCACCGACTTGAGCCACTGAAACTCTCCAATTCAAGAGCGATCCAACCAATGACGTTTTGGTGGGGGAGACAGACAGACACCTGCAGGTTTATAAGTGGTGGTTGGGGTTAGGGTTGATGCACTATGTTGCTGCCGCTCTCCGAAAATGTGGGTCAAAACAATGAAATAGGGGCTTATCGCGGGCTTATCAATTCATGCTCGGGGAGAATGAAAAAAAAAAAAAAAAAAGAGAAAAAAAAAAAAAAGGAAAAAAAGACCATTAGGGACACACTTTTGCTGTTCATCAGCGTGGAAACCACGTGAGTAGGCTAGGTAGGTAGTCTCTGTGTAAACCATAATTGCGACAATCAAAGTCAATTTCGCTGTTCAGATATCAACCTCAACAGACGAAGCCCCAACCGTCACATGACAGAGACAGCTTGAAAGAGAGTACATTGTTATAAGAAAACCGGTATATTCTACCTACTCCTATTTAAAGCTCGTGCCATAATCTCTTCCTGAGCGGGTGTGAGTGGACCTTGCTCCCTCATCTCCTGGATGGTTGCCTCAAGGTCAACATGCCCATGATGCCCTCCTGGCTGAGGATTACCTCCCGGAGGAACATCCACATCCATGTCTTCATCCGGGTTATCATCCCGAAGCGGCCGCCTATACTGGTCAGCCCTGGGCGTAGTCAACAACGTCTGCGGAGACAACACCCACAACCCATCGTCCTCCAGATTCTCCAAATATTCCTCCCGATTCCTTTGGAACCACTCGTCCAAGATCTCCTGCATCAACCATTTCTTCTCTTCCTCCTGCTCCCGCCTCCATACCATCCACTCCTCCTTCGTCATCATCTCCTCTGGCCTTGGCCGGGGCCCAGCACGCTGCGACATAATCATCTCCGCTTCCCCCTGGGCTTTCTGTCTCAAGCCCAGAGCAAACCTCTCCTTGTGCGTTAGGCGGAGAGGCTGGTGCTGGTGCTGGACCCCCTCCATCTCCTCCCCCGGCCACGGCTCCTCGTTTGCCGCCGCCGCAGCCAGTATCTGCTCCCCGTCCGCAGCTGATCTGGGCCTGGCTTTGGCTACCCGAGAGCCAGCACCGCCGCGCACCCTGTGGAGGGGCTCCTTGGGCCTGGGGTCTCTGTTCTTGACGCCCTTGGGACGGCCGCGGCCGCGCTTGACAGGTGGAGCGTCGGCGTCAGGAGCAGCAGCAGCAGCAGCCGCGGGAGCAGCGGGGACCTGGGGGCCGGGGAGAGGTTGTGAGGGCTGCCCGGCCTGGCCCTGGCGGAGAGGGACGTTGGCAAAGGCCGCCGGGTTATGCTGCCTCAGCTGCTCTACCAGCGAGGCACTAGCTGCTCTAGCAGCGAGGTCTTGGGGGCCGTGGTTGCCCCTGGGGAGAGGTTCGGCCCGGAGTTTGAGGGGGAAGGTCTTGGGGCCGACCTTCTGGGCAAACTTCCAGGGCTGGTGCTCCTGGTGTTGCTGCTGCTGTTGCTGTTGCTGCCCTTGTTGTTGCTGTTGCTGCTGGTAGTGCTGCTGCTGCTGCCCCTGCTGGTGCTGGTACTGCTGGTGCTGGTACTGCTGTTGCTGGTACTGCTGTTGCTGGTACTGCTGGTACTGCTGTTGCTGGTACTGCTGGTACTGCTGTTGCTGGTACTGCTGCAGTTGCTGCAGCAGGGTCGGGGTCGGGGTCGGGGTCGGGAGCGGGGCAGGGAACTGGGACGGGGGCGGGAAGGGAGGCGGCGGCATCTGGGGCTGTACCGCCTGTGGATGCGGTACTCCCTGCTGCACAGGGGCTGCAACCGGCTTCGGCTGCGGCATCACCGGTGAAGGCACAGCAGGCACCACGGGCGAAGGCACAACCGGCTGCGGGGCCTCCATACCACCCTGAGCATATCCCTCCCCCGCCTGAAGGCGCGGATCCAGATTGTCCGCTTGGTTGGAGCTGGGGGCGGGGGTGCCGGCAACCGGGACGTCGTTGAGCAGATCGTCCAGATCGTTGTTGGGCATCTAAGCGATGATGACCTTATGTTAGTGACTGACCATGTTTCCTTGGTGCCACAGCGGTAGCGAGATGGCTTGTCATGGGGGATGTAAACGGAAGAATGACTTGACGGACCAATACGATACATCTTGGGGCAAAGGAAGAGTCGACCAGTGATCATCAAAGACAAGCAGCGTAGACTAAATTTCAATGCGAGCAAAGGGGCAGACATGATGAACAGTTACAACATCAAATAACAACTCAAAGCAGAACAGTTACATCAAGGCAACGCACGTAGATTCAACAAGAAGCAAGGTTACAACATCAAGCACTTGAACAGCAAAACAGCAAGCACTTAAACAACAAGACAACCATCAGCTACAAACACACCAGTATAAACTTACCTGGACGTTGACGGAGCCGTCGGCGTTGACCAAGCCGTGGCTATTGTAGAGGTAGGCCCAGCCGTCGTTGTTGTTGTCGTCGTTGTTGTTGTTGCCGTTGTTGTTGCCGTCCACCGCCTCCCCCATCCCAAACTCAAAAAAGTTATCGCCGTTGTTCCCACCAACGTCGCCGTTGAAATTACCCATGTCGACATTGAATTCGTTGTCAGACATAGCGGGATTGGCAACGTCGGCGGGATAAAAGCTGCCGTCGGCGGGGAATGAGCTGTTGTCGACGGCAGCGGCGGGGACGGAGGCGAAGGCAGCAGCGGCAGGGACGGCGGCAGGGATGAGAGAGGCAGCGAGAGGGGCGGGGCTGGCGGGAAACACGAAGGCGGGGTCCTCCTCGGGGCCAGCAGCGAAAAAGGCGTCGGCGACAGGGACAGGAGAGGCAGCGAGAGGGGTGGGCCTGGCGGGAAAGACGAGGTCGGGGTCCTCGAGGCCAGCAGCGAAAAGGGCGTCGGCGAAAGAGCCGTCGTCGGCGGCAGGGACGGGGTGGTTGGCAGGGACGGGGCTAGCGAGAGGGACGGGGCTAGCGAGAGGGACGGAGCCAGCAGCGGGGAGAACATCGGCGGGGGCGAAGGCGGCGGCATACGCATTGGCATCACCGCCAAAGAGAGCGGTAGCAACGGCTTCGGTGGCCTCGAAGTTGGACATGGTGACTGAGAAGTGGGGGCGAGGGGGACAAGAGGTTGAAAGAAGCGGGGAAGGTGGGGAAAGAGAGAGGAAAGAGAGAAGGAAGAGAGAAGAAGAGAGAAGAGAGGAGGAAGAGAGAAGAGAGAGAGAGAGAGAACGGTGTAACCCGCGGAGCTTGGTCGAGTGTGTGTTTGTGTGTGTTGGGTCTTGAGATCAGTGTCCCAAGAGAAGAGCAAAGGTGAAGAGTGGGTTGGTAGAGGTATAGTTTGAGAAGGCGTCTTGTAGTTCAAAGTACTGTCAAGATATTGTTTATCTGGTAGTAGTGTGGACTTCAAGCTTGCTGTGCACGAGGAAGGAGAGGAAATCCAACCGAGAAGAGCGGAGGGACCAGCCTCTTTTATAAGATTGGAAACCAGAATGTCGGGCCATTTTCCTGGACATCAAAGCAGACAAGATCAAATGTCCATCTGGCCTTTTCAGCAAAAATGCGGCGGTCTTCCGAGACTACATGCAGTTATTCAGATAATATTACAGTAACGTAACCCACGTGTCGTTGCAGGCATTGTAAACAAGTTCATACACTCTGGCAGTTCCAGCACAAATGAGGCGGTGTTCCAAGGCTACATGCAGTTTTTCAATATTACCTGTACAGTAACCCAACCCACGTACCGTTGCGCGGATTGTAAACAAGTTCATACACAGTAGACGCCACCTGTCTCTGCTGATACGCTTCTGGATTCGACTCGTTGTCCGGCATGCTTGCACGGACAGTGTGCTGTAACTCAAAGCCCAGCTCGCCGTAGTTTCCCATGAATTCCAAAGCCAAAGTCAGTGTCTCCGACTTGATCTTAGCCTCGTCTGCCCCACACTCTGCCAAAGAACCGTTCTGCTCCTCCTCCATGTCTCCAATCTTGCCCCTCCACCCAAGCACAAAAGGCTCAGTCTTGACAATACGTGGCCTTCCCCCGGCTGTCACAAGCTTGACGGTCCTCAGAAAGCTGGCAGGTGTGCTGTTATCCTCGTCCACGCCCTTGACAGTAACCACATGCCTGCCTCCTGCAGGGTTTGCGTCTACGTCTGTTTCAACAATCAACCTTCTCCGCACGTAAAAGTCAGGAACAGGAAGGCTGAGATAGTGCATGACTCGCTCCATTAAATCGTCGGTCCGAGCATATATTCGGTGGTCCGGTGATGGGCAGAGGTAATCAAGGTCGGTGTCCTGAAGATTGCAAATGACGAGATTTGTGTCTGGTTGCTGCGTCTGTTGCTTTTTTCTCTGAGCGGCGGCACGCTCACCAACAAGTTGGGGAAGTTCGTTTGCCGGTGTCACGGTTAGGGAAGAACCCAGAACCAGGCAGAGGTCGGCTTTCTCGCAGTGTGCCTCGGCTCGCGTCCAGGGGCCGAGAGGGAGGTCTTCAGAGAAGTGGATGATGGTGTCATGAAGAGGGTGCGTCATACAGATGGGGCATTTCCGTCCAGTCCGATGGTCGTGGAGGGGGCGGTTATCCGGGGCTACGGCATAGAAATCTGCTGCCGTTAGTGTATGGCTGTCGAAGCCATGAAAAACATAAAATGATTAAACGCACCGCGCAGAAACTCCTTTCCGCAGTTCTTGCAGTACTCAATATTGGTGTTTCCATGCAGCTCCGAAATCATGTCCTATAGTTACGTGGCCACACGATGGGGTCAGCGTCCAGCTGCTTGTATCAACGGGGTTGTAACTCATCCCGGAGGACTTGGACCGTCACCTACAGCGCGTATGCCACTTCGGCGATGCAGTCCATCGCAATTCTGGCTGATGAGCCCCTTCAATATTCCTCTCTCTTGCAGTTCCACCAGTGCCATGTGCGTCTTTGTTGGTATTGCTTGCAACACGTCGACAGACTTTTTGGTTGCTTGTCGCCCCTGGGCCATCAGAGTCCAAACGCCTTCGGGGCCTCGGAAATCCGGGATGCCTTTGAGGTGTCATATTTGTGTTAGCTCGGCCGTCCGAGAGCGCCGAGTACGTAAGAGAACACCTAACAGGGGGGGAAGCAAGGCTAGCGGCAGGGTGAAGTAGCAGGTAAGGCAGGAAGAAGTAAGGCTAGGTAGCAGCAGCAGGGAGAACCAAGGCTAGAGACAGAAGGCCTGGCACCAGCACTGACACCAGTACCGGCCGTGGAGAAGTGGGGTAAGGGCAGGATAATGATGGGAGTTTGACAGGTAGGGGAAGTGCCTGGACGACTCTGTCGACGTACTAGGTCGCCTGGTCTTCAAGCGCCCATACCCCTCTTCTCCAAACAGGCAAGGTGAACGCCCTGAGTCCCAACGAGTAGTGAAGCCACGATGAAAGATGGAAAGTGACGAACCGGCAGATGTAGATACCCCCGCGCCCGTAAACACGACCAAATGCTTTGACTTTCGAATCAAGTCGGCCAGCACCTTTGCTTTGCGATCGATGACCTCGGGCGCCTCGAATATCTCCTTCTTTGGGTTCTTGTGGGCGGTATGGGCCATGGTGGGCGATGGACAGCGATTGAGGGACCAGGTCTTTAGTGGGCTTTGGGGTTCTTCGGGGGTCGTCGGGGGTCTTGGCGGGGTCGAGTGTTGAGACAGCGGGTAGTCTCTCTATGTTGCCGATGAATACGGATGACGACGAGAGAAAGTGGTCGGCGACGACACAAGTTGCGATGGCGGGATGTCGTCGATTGAAGTACGCAACCGCGAAGTCAGCTGACTCGGGTCTCGATTGATGTTAGTACACTACAGCGCCATAGACTAGTGCGGTGGTACCCAAAGGAGAAGGGCATCGGCGATTGGCTGCTGGCCTCGCTCACGATCCGGCCACTTGGGTCGGGGACGGGTACGTCAAAGGCGCCAAGAGAAGCCGAAAGGGGCAGAATGCCTGTGGCACAGTGTAGGCACCTCCTCCTAGTAGGGATAACTGTATCTTTCACAAAACCTAGAGGTAGAGAGATCCTCCTGATGCCGTATCATTGACGACGCTGACCGTCAATCACGATGCTAGTGTTATTGCTGGTGTTGGACAATGACGACCCAAGACCATCCTGCTTCAGCAGATTCGACATGATTCGATGTCCGAAGCGGAGTGGTCAACGTGCTCGAACAAGCATCTGGAGATCAACGGCAATAGAGCTTCGACACGCCAGACAATCTTGGTCAACCCTTGTGCCATATCGTGCTGTATTGCCATGCCGACCAGGTCCCTTCCTTTCCTCTAATCCCCGACAACTGCCGTCCACAAAGGTTGAACACGAACGGCATGTTGAATTGTTCGAGGACTCAATACGGAACACCCTGGTGATAGATTGCCGACCGCGGTAAATGACGATACTGTAACAACCAATGACTGCCCGACAATGACGATAACATGGCCGATGACGAGAGAAGGATCCGTTTGACAATAGCAGTCTGCTTCAACGTGAAGAAAATGTGGACATGCCACCAATCCTGACTGACTCCAGGAAGGAATGGACGGGTTTGTGCCGTGTTGTGGTGCCGACCAGGTCGCCTCCTTCCCTCTCTGACAACCATCATCCGGGTTAGGTGGTACCAACGGCAACTGCCATGACGGATGACCCGATGACCCCTTGCATGTTCAAGTTCATCCCAACCACGGCACCACTAGCCCCCTCTTTCATGATCATCGCTAACGCTGGTTGACGACGGTGTAGTGATAACAATTGTATGGCCGTGAAAACATGAACGATTTGTTGGGGTATATGTACCCAAGCGATAGGACAAAACTTGACATTGGGAATTCCCAGATTGCGCAGAAAAAGGGGATCAACATGAAGAAAATGTGGATAGCCAGACAATCCGAATCCTTTTCCATCCAGTGGCCGGAAGGAGTTGTGGTTTTCCGTGCTGTGATGGCGACCATAGCAGCCCGCTTTGTCCCCTCGAACATCCCTCGCCAACCACTTGAATCACCATCTAGGTAGGTCAACGACCTCATCCAAAGACCCATTGTATGTGTGTGCTGCCTGCAAGACTGCTTTGTTGATGGTCCTCGACAACGCTCATTGACGACGCCGTGACTTATGACCCACTGACCGACCATGTAGAGACATGAACATCGCAAGACGGAATAGCGCAGAATTGGACTACGCTCAGTAATTGTGTTTGTAAATTCAATTGTTTAATTCCATGACAAAGCATCTGGTTGGTCCTACATCAAACCCATCGCATGTAGGTTGGTAGATGCCAGGTGGTGATCCTCCATCTCGGGTTCAAAGGTAGCCCGGCTGATGATTGATAATGTGTGGCTATACGGTGGACCACGATGACACGGAGAGGGCAATGTTCATCTGGTAAGCACCTGAGGCCAGGGGATAGGATAGGGATCAATGACATGAATCCTGAAACATTGATGAAACAACAATGTGGACGAACGAGAACGCCTTTATTTCCGAGCTAATACTCTTCTGAACTAAAAGCGCCGTCCATCACATGCCTTCCACTTAGTAATGAACATTCAATCTGACTCGGGGGATCCAAACGGGACTAGAACGATTGTGGCTGCAGAGCTAGAGGCAGAAACATTCATCAATCGGGTTAGCTGGGTGTAGGTAGTTAAAAGACATGGAGGAAGGAGTGAACGAACCTTGCGTATGCCAGAATGTGCAAGACCGAGGGCGCGTGGGCAGCTTGGTCGAACTAACCCCCTCCTTGGCCAATTAAAAACAAACAGCCTGGCATCTCTGCTCCCCAACAGTCCGCCTGACAATGCATCACCCCATCAACCCGACCATATCACAACCTGCCTTGGGTCCATCCGGTAGCTTCCTCCAAACAATCCCAGTTCTTCCCCGATTCTCAACCTGTTAAAAGTGATCAGTCCATGTTGCGAATCGTGGATCTCGTGGTGATGAGTGTCCCCAAAACTCGACAAGTCCCTGAGCCTTTGGCTGATTCAACCAAAGTGGGTCCACACGCAATGTACCGCCATGTCATCGTGCCTGTGACGGTTCGTTTATGAGTCGGACTCTCTCCCGCCTTCCAATCTTCCCCCCACCACTTTCTCGCTGTTTGATCCATCAACCACCACACCCCCTCAACTTTGTCGCTTCATTCAACCACCACCCCCTTTGGTCCAGCAACAATCGGTTCGGTAATCGTTATCGAGCAGCACTAGCCAACTGCAAGTCTCGGGCCGGGACAGCGGACGAATGCTTTGTGTCGTGCTATGTCGGTCTCTCCCATCAGCAGCATTGCTTCCATCACTCAATTTCAGTCCCCATTCTCAATTCATCTTTTTCCCTCTCCTGCCGCCCCCACCAACTGACAGGTATCCTCAGCCGCATAATCCATGCTCATAACCTCCCCATGCAACCTTCTCGCTGGGCTCTCCCACCGGCTCGTGGAGCTCGTGAGAGAAACCATACCGAACATCGACGCCGACAAACAGACTGCCACTGCCACCGCCAGTCCCGGGGAACTACCCACTGAGATGCGGACAATCAGTCAGCCATAGACGAGAAGAAGAAAAGGGGCAAGCCAAGAAAACGCCACAGTTGACAGCCACATAAACACAACGCAAAATCCAATGCAAACTACAGGTAGCTGTCTACCTGTCAGTACAGAGGCAACGTCCCCTCGACCCCCCTGAACGCCTCCTCCAACACTGCCAGTCCCTCCCTGACTTCTTTCTCGCCTATAGTGATAGGCGGTGCAATTCTGAACGTCCCCCCAAAGCTGGGGTGAGTACTCAGATTACACCAGAGCCCAAGTTCATACGCGCGATCTCCGACCCTCTTGGCCAGTTCCAACCCGGGTTCTTTCCCTTTTCTTCGATCCTCGACAATCTCCACCCCAGCCATCAACCCTCGACCTCGAACATCGCCGATACAAGCATACCGATTTTTGAGCTGGTTGAGCCCGGAGTGCAGGATCTCCCCCATCCGTCGAGCGTGCGAAACCAAGTCATCTCGGACAACGATTTCCAGCACCTTGTCCCCCACGGCGGCAGGCAAAGGGTCGTTAACATGCGTGGTATAGAAGAGGAAGTCCCTTTCCGCACAAACGTCGGCGATGGCATGGCTAGTCACAACCGCTGACAACGGCAATCCGTTGCCCAGAGTTTTGGACAGAGTCAAGATGTCCGGAACCACGCCGTCGTGGTTGACCGCGACCATTTCCCCCGTGCGACCGATTCCAGTCTGGGCTTCGTCAACGATGAGCAACATGCCACGTTTCTCACATTCAGTTTTGAGCCTGCGGAGGTACCCAGGCGGAAGCACATGCATGCCGCCTGAGGACTGGATTGGCTCAACGATGACGGCTGCCAGAGACCCGCATGACTGTTGGTCAATCAGTCGCCAGCCGTAAAGCATTTCGGCTTCCCAGTCGTATTCCCATTCTTCTTCGTTTTCTTCCTGACTTTCCTTTCCATTTCCCTTGTCAATCATATCTCCCTCTTTCCATCTCCCGCCTTCTCCACTTGTCTCCTTTCCCTTCAAGCCCTTTTCTTTCCTCTTCCTGAACCCCTGATGGCACCGATAAGCATTTGGACTCGGCAACATCAATCCTCCTGGAATCAACGGCCACCCGACCCTCCGTCCAGCATGGTACTGCACACTACTCGCCTGCGCAGTAACCCCATGCCAGCTCGCTCCCAACCCCACGACCTCGAACTTCCCGGTATACGTCTTGGCCATCTTGATTGCGGCCTCGTTCGACTCTCCACCCGTGGACAAGAAGATGGCTCTATCCAGTCCGTCTGGCAGGACACTTGTCAAGCGCTTGGCCAGGTTCAACACGGGCGGCGAGAGCATGCCGGAGAAGAGGTGGTCGAGGGAGGAAGCATGGGAGCTGATGACGGAAACGATTTCCGGGTGCGAGTGCCCGAGGAGAGAAGACATCTGGCCGGAGGTCCAGTCTGTTATTGCTCGGCCATAGGGAGAGGAGGAACCGGGAGAGGGAGCGGTGAAGAGGGAGAGGTGGGATGCAGAGACGATCAGGTCGGGGAGGAAGGTGGTGCCAAAGTTGATGAGGTGGGAGGAGGCGAAGTGGTTGAGGTTAGGGTGGTTAGAAGTGGTGATGCTGGGATAGAGATTAGTGGGCAGGTTGTTGCCGTTGGAGCTGCTGGGGCGGGGGGTTAGCTTGGTGTTGTCGTGGAATTTGATGGCGCCTGACTTACGAGTCGCATTTCTGATCGACCCTGCCATCTTTTGGCTCGCCATTCTCCGGCTCGCTGCCGTTGACAGGTAAAGGATCAATGGTTGCTTGGAGCGATGGCATGGCGTAGAGCTACTGGGAGTACTGTAGAAGCTTTCTAAATGGAAATATGATTAATCCTGGGGTGGCTGTCTCTTTGTAAGGGTTGAAGAAATGTCAAGGTAGAGGAGGAATATCAGGAAGTTGTGGGAAATGACAAATATGGAACAATGCACAGTTGCGGGAGTGGACAGTCTTGTTTTTAAGGCATGCGTCTACGGTTGTTGGTACAGAGCCGCTCGCACAAGTCCGAAATTCAATTGTTTTTTTGTGTTTGTTTCTTTTTAGTTTGCACCACGAGCTCACTCCTACCTTCTTTGCCAAACATGACTACACTTATCCTATTCGACGATAACTTGTCACAATGCCGTGGATGAAACAAGCCATCCCGTGTTGCCCCTCCAGCTTCCCCGCAGTCGAGACCCCCAAGTTTCCCCTCATGATAACAAACCAGGTCGCCAAGATTGTCTTCTTGCGGCTAGTTTGACATCTGATAAGGTAAGTGATAGCGGCTGAGTCGTTGTTGGGTTGCAACAGCGTTTGCGTTATGCTAGGGCCGAGTACCAGGCCGCGATACGGATGATAACCGGGCAGGCAGGTCATGGACAGTGGACAGTAATACAGGTGGGCGCGACGGGCATGCGCAACTCCCTTCAGGTTTTTGCGAGTAAGCCGGTAGCGGGCGGTCTGGTATGGAAATTTTTCATGCCGTGCTATGCCGTGCCATGCGATGAGATGAGATGGCTGTTGGAGACATGGGTACGATTGTAGGGGGAAAAAAAAAAAGAAAAAAGGAAACGAAACGAAAAGTAATGAAAAAAACATCAAGCGATGCGAAAAACTACAAGCAGCCCGCATAAAATATAAAGAGCATCCCGCATAAGACATGTACATCCACCCAACGAGTACCTAGATACCTACCGGTAGCATTTCATGGGTATACAGGACCGACCGGAACTGGGACGGACACAATCCATTCATGGCGAGCGAGCGAGCGACATGGGCGGGACCCGGTGCGGGACCGGTGCGGTGCGGGACAGGAGCGGGAGAGTAACAAGACCGGGGACGGGAGAGCAACAGGCGGAGGAGCGGGGAGAAACCACGTGGGCTGCTGGTGGTACCGGCCCGGACTGGCTGGATTTGGACCTAGGTAGGTAAAGTTGGGCTGGTCAGGTCGGTTTGTCTGAACGGAGGGTCTGGACTGGACTCGAAGCTACTACGACTGGACATTAGCAACAAACCAGGGCAGGGCAGGTAGATAGAGGTAGTAAGAACGAGCAACGCTTTTAGCTGGGGTCGCGGTATTCCTGGCTTCTTCGTGGAAACAACATCGCATAGTATGCCTAATATATTAATTCGTTTTTGGAGGGACGACAGGAGCTATCCGAAAATACCTCTAGGGTCGGGTGAGTACCTACCGTATCACTCGGCGACAATTTGCTAGGATTCGGCAACACATACTTTGAAGCTGTTTGTTGATCGCAACTACAAATAACTCCAAGCCATGGATGGCCATAGCATGCATACTACATGCTCTTTACTACCTTTTTTTTTTTTTTTTTTTTTTTTTTTTCCATACACTACTGAAAGAGCTGACCGCGCGGGAAATCCGTTGACGACCAGGGAACAACTTCACGCACTTCGACATATGATCTAGCAATGCTGTGATGTGTGCCTGTAGATCTGCGCGGGGATCAAACCGTTCTTGAGCCGCAATATGCCGTGCATGCAATGCAAACAAGAGGGTTTCTAACCCTACACCTACATACATACATACATACATATATACATACATACATACATACATACATACATACATTTAAACATCCCAGAAGCCGGAAAGTCGGTGACACAGAGATCCAAAGTCCTTGGATGCTACCGATGAAGGGAATTATACAAGTGTCAGCTTTGACATACAATGTCTTTGCATATTGTATGCACTGATCTTAAGCTACATCGAGGCATTGCAGTTCAGAAAAATTTCCTTCGAGTCTGCAAATTGCAGGCTGGCGCTTCTGGTGAACTTATGTGTGAAAGTCTGCGGTTGAGAAGTTCGCTCCAGATCACGTACCTAGGTATGAGGTCTCTCGTGTATTACGGTAGGTCAGCGACGTGCAATACCTACGATGCCGGGACGATCTTGGCTGCAGACACCTGCTGACACCCGCTGGAGTATTCATCATGAAATGCACATCCAGCTCCCTTGGTAACGACGCTTAAGCGGTGGCGGTGATGATGCGAACGACAGGTTATCTTAGTTCTCACCGCCGTACCCAGACGCTCGAGAACCAAGGAGGGAACCGATGACGATGGATCACGCAAACAGAATACCCGGAATCAATGCTTTAAGGTACTTGCATCCAAGCGAAGAACAGGCTAACAAAGGAAATCAACAAATAAAATTGGGGGGTATCTCTGACACATGGCGTTACTTGCTCCTTGCTTCCAATCAATGTCCGGATATCTAAGCTCGAACTGCGAACTGCAAATAACGAGGAAACTACCCGCCGCATCCATGGAGATCCAGCCTCCGATGGACCTGTTCCTCCTCTTCTTCTACACCTGTGGTAATGTCTGAGGTCGAATCATGCATTTCCAAGTTCCATTCCCAGGTATAGATGCCTGCACCCCTCCTCCCTGTTCCATTGCGATGATGGTAGAACAGTGACGATAGAGGGACCCCGTCATCACGAATAACTCTGCCCCCCCTTCCACTCCATAATCTCCCTCGTGCTCGGCAAAAACAGCTCCGACGCCCTCCTTGAATGTCCCGGCGCCATCGCTGCCTTTCCAATTCTCGCCGCATAATCCCCCCTCTTCTTGATCAAAAACGCCAGCGCAAGCGTCGGATGAGCCGCCGCCTTCTTCCCCAGCTTCATATTATCCGTGTGAAACATACTGCTCGACAGCTCGGAAGCGAGCCGACGAGCGTCTACTTCATGTACCACCCCGTGTCCTCCCTGCCATTGCTGTCCCATAACGGCGGCTTTTCCTTTTCTGTCTCCATGTGCTTCGGCGAGCATGTTGGCTGTCGCTCGGCTTCGTAACAACATGTCGGCGAAGAGATCGAGGAGGTGTTTGACGAGGTTTCGGTTGTGTAACGAGAGTCGGTTAAGGGCTTCTGTCCAAAAGTCGAAGCCCATGTCTTCTAGCTTGGGAGCTGCTGGTTCTATGGCCCCTTCTTGCCTGGCGAGCATGATCCAGCTTCTGAGCACAGATTGCGAGACCAGCGGTTTGGGTAATTCCCGAAGATAAATGAGGATCAGACGGGCCGCGTCGTAGGGCGTGTAGGGGTCGCCTTCGGGGCCTAAGGAGTCAAAGTCAAAGTCGTCGCCGTACGACGGGCCCTTGTTGAACACGTATTTGAGGTAGGCAACGTTGTGCGAGTTGCCGGTGGAGGCAAAAAGTGATGGGTCGGTGCATCCTGGAGGACAACAGAGGGTTAGTGGCGATGTGCCACGGGAGCGTTTGAGCGGAGATGCAAGAGACATACCCGAGTTGCGGATGAATTCGCAGCATTTGTACACGGACAAAGGAAATAATCGGTGGGACGTGCTCTTCCCTCGATGAGATATTCGAATCTTTGACGGTGCAATTCTGATACTTTCTTTCAAGTCGACGCCAAACGCGCTGCCGCCGTCTTTCCCTGCTGAGCTTCCCCGCGTCTGGACACCAAGCGAGTGCGACGCTGGCACCATCCCGTATTCCGATCTGCTGGCTGACGACGATAACGACGATGGCCCAAATGGTTCGGCGCTTGGTAATGAGACGTTGTCGAGTTGTGGTCGGTCTAGCTTGTGTGGCGTTAAAGATCGCTTGTGGTCCGCTGGCGCATTTCTTCTCTCGCTCGATGATCCAGGCCAGATGCGTGCAAGTAACCCGCCCATCCGACGCGATGTGTTCTTGGTATTTCGACTTTTCTCCTCCAACGGCCCACTGGTGGTTGACGACAACGACTGCTTCCCGGGCGGCCCATCCATCATCAACATTGGCCTGCCAATGGATATCGACCGCATGTGTGCGCGACTTGGTTGGACTTCTGGGGTCTCGAAGCTAGATAAACTGGATACCGTATCGGCTGTCCCTAGATTTCGACCATGTGTAATGGAGACGGCATCGGCGTCAGGAAAGAAATTCGACATGTTCGATACCGGGCGCAAACTAGGTGTCCTCTGTCCGCAGCTGGACGTGGCTGAACCGAGGCGAGAACGGTAAGGTGTCGATAAAGGGTGGATAATGTCGTCGAACTGGAACCCGTCACAAGTAGGCGTGATGGGTGCGGGTGTCGAAGGGCTGGCGGTGACGCTCATGTCGTCTCGACTCGTTAACAGTTCAGGAACATCGTGGTGATGATATGGGATCCGGGAGAGTCGGTGTGAGAAGCTAGGACTCGGTAGAGAGATGGCATGGCTGTCAGTTGTATAGGCATGGCCTATGGAGGCTGATCTCGACAGTACGAGATTCGCGGGGCGGGGTGCAGCAAGAAACGTCCGTGACTGCGACTGTTGTGGGTAGTGATGGTCCTGCTGAATTTGGTCCCTGTCGTTCTTGTAGTCGACGTTGCACTCGCTCGAGGAGAGGTCCGAATCTGGGTCTGCATCGACATCGTCGGTCCACATTGCTGCTTGGGACATGATCCTGTCTGTTTTCCGATGCCTAGGATAATTTCATGTCTAGTCAAGGTGTCAAAGATGTGGCGTAGGTTTTTCTCGGTCTCGTCGACTCGAGGGGGTGACTTGGCTTCTTTAGTCTTTTTGTTCGTCCAGGGTGGATTTCCTATTTGAAGCCCGAAAAGGAGCAAGGGATTTCAAGTGCCGCACGGTTGGCGTACAAGATATAAACGTCACCTCTTCCTTGATGACAACCCTGGTGACGCCCCTGGTAATGTGGCCCGGGTGGCTTGCTGTTGGGCGCCCCGATGGCTTTTTGTTTGTTCTTTGTGTAGATCAAGGGCTAACACGAAGGAGCATGTCTCGCCAGGGAGTGTTGGTTGATTTGTACAAGCGGGGGTGATGGATGATGTGCGCCAGAGAGGGCCGCAATAATTGACCTCGAGTATCGTCGACTATCGTGACATATCGTGCTGCTGTGTATCGCAGATGACCAAATGATATTAGATGAACTACCCGGTCGGGTCAAGTGAGACAAGGTCGACGAGGAATTGTACATTATCTGGGTGCGGGTACCGAGGAAGTGCCGGTGGGGGCATGCCGGGATTCCGATATCTGGGGAAGGGAGGATCCAGGTACGGCATAGGAGACTAGGCCATTTGGAAGTAAACAAGGGCGAAACGAAATGAATATCGGTTGTTGCGTCGTATTGAGCCATATCGGCATGTCGTATTGAATGGGGAGACTGCTGTTGCGGTTGAAATGGAAGGTTTGCTGCTTGAAAGAAATCCTGCTGGCGGTTACATATCATGTTTGGATTGTAGCGACCGTTGCCCACTGTCGATCAGGTTCATGCCAAGTATTTGAATGATACGCGGAGTGTTTAGTTTTTGCAACACTGAAACAGGAAACACGCCACAGATGATAAAGTGAGAACAAAAAGGGCAACGGAGAAGGGAAGGGAAAAACAGGGGACTTGTCCTAGTCCAATTGTCCTTCGGAGGTTCTGCCTTTTCTGGGGTAATTGTTAGGGAAACCCGGGAAATTGGGGTTGCGACAGGCACGGACAACAGGCAGGGACGAGGGGTTTATTTTGGCGCCTTGGGTTTCCCTCGTAGCGTCTGATGCCCTGAACCGCCGCTATCAATTGTCACTGAAAGAGGAAGGAAACAACAGTGAGCCTCATCAGTATCGGGCACCGGACGAGCATCCACCGAACCCAAATCCACCGCCTCCACACCGCTAAACCTGTGCCTGACGAGAGGAAACGCCGAAGTTTCACGGCCTTGTCCTTGTCGTCGGTTGACACTAAAAAGTGACGACGCCATCACAGAAAAATACTCCGAAGAAAAAGAAACAACGGTTTTTTGACAGTTTCTCTTTTCAGAACGTATCATTCCCTCTGCTGTGCCCGTTGTCATGATATCCGCAGTTCTTGGGTTTTAGAAAAGGGGTGTTTGATCATTTGTTACAGCTCCTCTCATTGACACGTCAGTTCCAAGGCAGACTTTGATGACTGCTGCCATAACAGTGTCTGATATCGTCCTCACAATTTCGGCTTTGCCTTTCCATTCCATCTGTTTTGTCGTTGCATACCTCGGATCTCAACAATGCCATTCATCATCCTACCTCTACCTATTCCTACATGTGCAACCATCTAACCGCCGTAGACTACTCATTCGTACGCTATTTCATCTCGTCGATAATCCCTCATTCCATCACATTTCACATCTTGCACGGAGCAGGATCAAGAACAAGACCCCCGGTGGGCATCACATGTCCGCCCTCAGCGCTACCCTGTCCCTTTTAACCATATCAGGAGAGTCCGCATGGCGTGCCATCGACACAAGGGTGCTTTACCATAACCCGACAAAAATCTCGCACGGTTAGGACTACACGCAACCCCATCCCACGCCACCTGTCAATACTTGCTTTTTTACCTACAACCGTCGCTACTTCGCACAGTTTTGAAGGAATAGTTGAGCGATTCGAGGTAACATCTGCCCCTTTTTATGAGTTTCGTACATTGTTTGGTATTTAGGAGATGGACGGTCAGCTCCAGATCACTACCTGACGGAAGGCGGCAATTACTGTAGAGAGAGAGAATCTGAAACAACAAGTTCTCTTGGTGGTCCTCTCTCTTCCAACAGTCCGACTTCTTTCGGTCTTGTACTGATTGTTTGTCAACCGATCGATGTCCACCACCAACACCCGGGTTGGATCGCTTCCGTCTTGGAAACATCATCGGGATCATCAATGCCGTTAGGTCCTGCCAGAGCAAACAATCGCTCAAACCTGTTACCAACAGACAAGCTGCGCATTCGTTGGGAGGATATCAGGAACCTTCGATGCAGAGAGCGCAGTGCAAATTGAGTATTTCCGATGTTGTTGGACTGTGGCGCTGGCATGGTCGAACAGGACTGGCCATGGCGTGCTGATATATTACAATGCTACCTAGGTATATAGGGTGCTTTTCGCCGTCATATCTGGCCAAAGCCCATTGACAAAGAAAAAGACGACGCGGTCTTGATGCTCAGTCTTCGACTTCATCGTGGTCTGGGACGAAAGCTGCCTCAACTGATGCTCGTGAAACGAGGTGTGCAGAGTGCAGAGGGGTGCACTAACAGCATGCCTCGGTAGAACGGTAGGTAACTGTTAGTGCTGACTACTCCGCATATGACCACTAGAACTTGCGACAATTGATAGCACCAGGCAACTAACAAAATCCATTGGTTGACTGCTTGACAGACGGTCAATGAGCCCAGTCTCGGTTCATGATCAATTGGAGAATACAGGTGACGCAATCGATAGAACACTCCCAAGCTTCCAGAAAAAACACAGATTTCCGTGACACGGGTCGCCTCACCTAGCCAAGTGTTTGCGGCGCACCATCGTCACCTCGCTACACAAGCGGTGTTTGCCCGTCAAGAAGGTTACCTTTTCCACTACTTTGGTTCTCGTGACCGCACATGGCAATCCGGGGAGACTAGGTAAGTAGTTTATTGTGGTCCGTGAGTCGTTCGTCCGTCCTCGCATCCGTCCGTCTGTCCGTCCGTTTCCGGCCCGGACTCAAATACCTTCTCCGGTATTCCTATATCCACGAAGCCGGCGCAGATTGCCCGGGACGGGCCGGCGTGGACAAGTCAAGTGTTGTGCACCTCAAGACACGGAATGCCGAGCAGTGAAACTCACGGCGCGGCTAACGATATGCCGTATGCTGCATACAATGCGTGCGATCTGAAGAGAAGCGAGGTAACGCCGGAAATCACAATGGTTGTTCACCAAGATGAGACCATCTGATTTCATTCTCCCAGGTGCAGGTAAAGTAGATGGGGAGGTTTTCCTCCGCCGCACCTAATGGAGCTATCGCGTCACCGTGTTACTTGCCGGTTCCCATCCGTAAAAGGATTTAACGTCCGTTGTTGTATCCCCGTCACATCATCCACCGAGGCTCGGTAAGTGCGCTGAGACGGTGACACATCTTGTGTGAAACTTTTTAGTCGCAAGCTACCACTAGTAAAGCTGCTGTTTTGTGTATCCAAGGTGTAATTCGCACACTCGGAAGATGAGCGCGAAGGATGGAAGTTGTTCATGAGGTACAGATATGATTATGTCTTGAATGTCGACGGCCGAGAAGGAGAACTTGGAGTTGTCCTAAATCGACCAAGACATTTCAGGGCTAGACCCTGATGTCTCAGATCCCTTTCGCAGGGTGCCCTGACTTGTTAGTAATCAGGACCCTGTTGTTTCCAATTGGTTGTTTTCCCGCGGCAAACGCTTCCCCCTTCCATAACTGACGTCGAGCGGTTGAGTCGATCCAACAGCAGAGAAGATAGGACAAAGATTCGAGATTGAAAAGTCTCCAGATAAGGAATAGATTCGGAAAACGGTACTACAATGGTTGCGAAGCGCGAGTACCATCTGGACGCCTTCTCTTCCACTTCCTGTTTGTCCCTCGTCCCACAAGTTCACAACTTCCAAACAAAACCCCGCGCCAGACAAGACATCGGAAGCAGAGAAAGAGTTCCCCGCATCATTTACTAGAACCAGTGGAGACACCATCGCCGTCACCACTGTAAAGCAAAAGCTTGACGAAAAGCTTGATCATCACCAAAATCCACCTGGACTGCAGTGCGATCCCAATCTTCTCTAGCGGCCACTGCAGTGATTTGAGTTGGCAAATGGTCCAACGATTGGAAGGCAACCGCCACACAGGCCATGGGTGCGTCATGCTTACGGCGCACAGACCACAATTGAGAACCTCTACGGCCAGCATCCCGCTTGTGGGCCCCCGGTCCATTCAAAAAATGCGTGACAATCTGCGCGGAAAAAAGGAGCCTTTTTTACACTCAAAGGGCACAAATGGCAACGTCGCAATGAAATATGGCCCGACTGTTGGGTCCTCAGTCCATTGCGATATATACCACTTTTGATCATCCTCTCTCTCATGGAATGCTTCATTGTCTTGTGGCCGATTGACAAGAGGTTACTTTGTACTCGGCACTCGCGGCTCAATATAATGGACGGACCATAGCCGACGATCCACTTTACGTCAAGTCCCCGGGCCATCTCCGAATTTGAACTGTCAAGTTGAACAACGGGAACGGCCCCGGAGCCGCAAGGGAAGCCCTACCGACAGCCCGATGGAAGATGGTGGAGAAGGAATAAGATATGATGCCATGCCAGAGATGCAGCTCATGCGGTCTGTTGGTGCTCCTTCCTTGTCTCCAACAGGAAGCTGGCCAGCCAACAAGGTCCCCTCAACGAAGAAGAAGGAAGGAAAGTGGTGGTGGTATCAGCAGCCCCAGCCCAGCCAGGGCCCATTTGGCCATCAAGGTCCTCAAAAAAAAAAACCGGCATGACAACATCCCAGCCGCCGCGTTCCATACAAACAGAAACCGACACGAGCTAGCAACTCAACCTAATAATAATAATAATACCTTGAGAACCCCGCGGGCCATGGTCTGGAAAATTCTGCTGCCATCACTTCATCACTCAGCTCCATCTTCCGATTTTCGGTCTCGGTCGCAGATATTTATCTTCAATTGCTTCCCTTTGCTGGTAAAGACCTACTCAGTTCTGGTTACCACCACCGTTGCCGTCACTTTATCTCGTTCTTTGGTGTGATCGATCCACAATACACAGCATCACAGTCCAACGCAGGCGGCTGATTGCAGTTTGGACGACAAGACGCCTTTCTGGAATCCGGATTTCTAAAACAACTGATTCCAGCCTGCACACCTGCCGTGTATAAAGCTCCACACACTTTTTTTTTTTCTCTGGAAGCAATCTCAACTACTTCCTTTTCCCCGCCAACAACAGCTGGTCTGCGAGCTCCCAAGTTGCCAGCAACAAGTGGAAGCTCCAGCGCGACCATCAAGCGAAGCCAGACTCTACCTCTAGTCTCTAACTAGTCTACACTTGCTCCACAACAACAAGTGCCACGTCGCTCAGGTACGTCGCTCATCCATCACCCACTCCCCTCCCTCCTTCCGACCTCGCGCGTCGGACACAAAGTTTCCCCACATCGGCCCCTCCCGTTGTGCAGTTAGCTCGATGCTCTGCGTTACCTCGCTTGTTGTGGTATCGTCTCCTCAACCCATCATCACTTTCTTTCAACCTTCTCTCCTCCTTCTTCTCCTCCTCCTTCTACTCTCTCACCTATAACCTCATCATCATCTCTCTCTCTCTCCTCGTCAACGCCATCTGACGAGTATCATAGTGTTATCAACAAACATGTCTTCTGCTGAGCCTTTCAACCCTCACAGTGTTGACCTGGACACTGTGGACCCCAAGGCCGTGGTCTGCTACCTCAACTCGTCTCCAAACGACTACAATGGTCGTATCGGTCTCCGTATCTCGGCCTTGTTCGTCATCATGGCCACCTCGTCACTCACCACCCTTTTCCCGGTCTTGGCCACGCGCATTCCCCGTCTGCGTATCCCGCGCTATGTTTACCTCTTCGCCCGTTACTTCGGCGCCGGTGTCATCATTGCTACCGCTTTCATCCACCTCCTCGATCCCGCCTACGAGGAGATCGGCCCCGCCTCTTGTGTCGGTATGAGCAAGGGCTGGGACTCTTACTCCTGGCCTCCTGCCATCGCCATGACGGCCGTTATGCTCATCTTCTTGCTGGACTTTGGCGTCGAATGGTATGTCGAGCAAAACTACGAGTGCGATCAGGCCGACGTGAGCGTCGAAAAGGTCATCACCACCTGCCCTGGCCACTCTACCGACGGCGCAAATTCCTCCGACGAGGGCCACAGCTCCGAGTCTCACGACGACTGCCACAACAGCCCTCACAAGCCGTCCACCACCGGCCACGACGCTCATCACGGTCACCAGTTCCTCCACTCCGGCGATCAGGACGCCCCGACCCCCATTGCTCTCCAGACTGCTGCTTTGCCCACCACCGACTCTCATGGCCACGACACTAGTAAGGACACCATCGACATCGAGTCGCACGCCTTCCTCACCGGCGAGTCCCCTGCTTCCGAGCGCATCTTCCGCGAGCAGATCGCAGCTTTCCTCATTCTCGAGTTCGGCGTCCTTTTTCACTCGGTCATCATCGGCCTCAACCTCGGCGTTGTCGGCGAGGAGTTTTCCACCCTCTACCCCGTCGTTGTCTTCCACCAGGCCTTTGAGGGTCTGGGTATCGGCGCCCGTCTGTCCTCGATTCCGTTTCCAAAGCGCCTTAGCTGGATGCCCTGGGCTCTGTGCGTCGCCTATGGCTTGACCACTCCGATCGCCCTTGCTATTGGTCTGGGGGTGGCGACCACATATGAGAGCGCTGGCTTCACTGCGTCGATCATCTCGGGTGTGTTGGATTCCATCTCGGCTGGTATCCTCCTGTACACCGGCCTCGTGGAGCTCCTCGCCAGGGACTTCCTCTTCAATCCCGACCGCACTCGCGATAAGACCCGCATCCTCTTCATGCTGGCTTGTCTATTCGCTGGCTGCATCCTCATGGCGTTGCTTGGCAAGTGGGCTTAAGCCACAAGGCCTCCACACACCAAGGGGCTCACCGCGATCGGGAGAAGATGTTGTCATGACTGTTGACTTTTTCGAGCAAGCGAGTTATTTCTTGTTCAAGGGATCTGTGGTTGGCTTGGTTGCATGGATGGATACCCCCTCGGCATTTGCATTTGGTTTTTTTGCTTTCTTTATTTTGCTGGCAAGTTCGGCGTTACGGATCAATGCATGATGGAAGGAAAATGGGAAGGGATGGGTTACCTCATGAATCAAGGAACAGGGACGGAAAATGGAACACAGTACATAGTCATAGTGGTAATCCCTTCGGGCGACAACCAGGCCGTCCTGTGAAGGTTGATAGACGAGGGTAGCTTAATTGTACAAGTAATACCCAGCTTGCCCTTGTCACTGCGCCTCGTGAATTTGGATGACCCGGCCGTTAGATCTGGTCGTTTCAAGGGGGGATCGTAGGGAAACTCAAGGTCTCGCACAGAAGGAATCGATCCATGTTTAGACATGGCAAGGACCAAGACCTGTGAGGAACAGCATACATGGAGGGGGGCCCGAGTGCCTTGATGCATAAGTATGCAAAGAAAAAGGAAAACGATCGGAAAGATTGCCTTTTGTTTCATGAACTTGCACGACAAATAAAACCAAATCCTGGTGGCAACCCTTGATGATGGATGATACACCCCGACAATTACGACCACCGTAAGTAAACAAACCTATTCAAGAAACAACAATCCATTTGCCCCAACAGTCAGTCGATCACTCAAGCTCAGATTCCATCCAAGACACAAACAAAAACAAAAAAAATACGTTCGACATGCATGCATGCATGGCCGAAGAAGATGATGCCAAGCATCATAATCCCCACCCCGGCCGAGAGTCAAAAAAAAAAAAACAGAAAAAAAAAAGAAAGCGATCCACCCAGGGGTCGAACCTGGAACCTCCTGATTCGTAGTCAGACGCTCTGCCATTGAGCCAGCGGACCTTGTTTGATTGGCTGATATTAGGTAGCTTAAATCATATAATTATAAAGGTATGCAAAGCGTACTTACCGTAAACTGCCGTTACTGCGATGTAGGCTCGGAGCTGCTCGGAGCTGCTCGGTAGGGTATCCGACCGTCGCGGGGGGATAGTAACGAACAAAATGAAAAATCGTTTTGATAATCAACAACGCATACGCAATGTGTGGAGTCGCTCCCCTAATAAGTGTTTAGCAAACGAACTAAGTCAATCGAATTAGGTACTCATAATATCGGCCGTTTAAAGTTTCGGGTGTCCACGGCGTGCTGATTTTGTAGCTAATTGGAACTAAAAATGAAGAAATAACCATCAGATCAAGATGGTGATATGTTGTTTGTAACCTGGATTGTTGAAGGGGTTTTGATCCTAACAGATGCGGTGAAATGCTACCTGTCTTTTGTCCTCTGGATATCCTGCTTCAGTGAGTCGTCGTTTGTCGCCGTTATCCGTTGCACGCCCTTCCTTTCATCCATCACCTGGGTATTCTCCAGTGTCCAGCAGTCATGTCGTCGGCCACAGTTGACGCAGACGGTTGAAGGAAGCTACTTTACTTTACCTTTATCGACCTCGGCTGACTGACTTTGCGCAATACTATCAAGTGCACGACAAACCAAGAGCCCTGAGGTATATCTTAAAGATTGACAATAGCATAAAATCCGTGGACATTTATCTGATTTGGCGCTGGAGTGAGCTCATTTCCGCGCCGTGGATTTAGCAGAGAAGGAACTCTATTGAAGCTCTTTACTCGTCTGTTTGCTCACCACTTTCTTCGTCCTTTCAAGGAATGGAGTCTTCCTCGGTGTACAAAAAACCAGGTCTACCCGATGGTTGACGATAGCGCAAAGTCCGGTGAACCCTCGCCCCTCCGCTCATTTCACCCCATCCAAACAGTCAACCCAAACGAGGAAGGAAGCCACGCCCCGACCGCCTTAATCTCAATCACCGATCATTCGTCGCAACTTGCTCCTTCCAAGGCATCAACTTGCTGACTTTGACAAGTCAGATGAATAGTGTAAGCTGCCAGAAGTTTCTGGGCTACTCTGTTGCTCCGTGGGAGGGTATAAGAACTCTCTTTCTTCCTGCTCTCGATAATCGTTCCCCTCTTCTCTTTTGCATCGACCTGCCTTCAAGCAAAGTGGAACCTTCGCGTCTTCGGGATTTTCTACTACAGCATCAGGATCAAGGAACCCGGCTCTACCAAGAAACGACCCTCACGATGTCTCCTTGGTACGCATTTCTTCTCCTGTCCCACTTTATACCATCGCCTCGGGTTCTCGACTCGCCTTCCTTCGTTTGTCGGAACAGACAGCTGACACTTCTCGTTTCTCAACAGCTCATGCACCTCTTGTAGCGGCTGCTCGGGTAACTGCTCCGGCTGCGGATGCAGCTCATGCTCTGTAAGTTACCTTTTTCTTGAGTTCTACTTTTCCCCGTCACTCTCCTGTCGCTCTCCGGTTCCTTCAAGACTGCTTCGCACATCCTGGAGCTGCTGCATGTCTTGGGGCCTTTGATTCCTTGAAGAACACAAACTAACCACTGGGCGTTTTGGTAGCACTAGACGCTCTGGTGCGGCAAGCATGTCTAGTTTGGCATGTCTTGCTCCAACGCACTCCCTCACTTCATCTTGTCGTATTTCAAATTCCACCATGGCACGATCAACCGTATTCGGCAGCAACAAGAAAGCTGAAGGGATGGGAGGTGTTGCTGGAGGACCAAGGCGTCGTGGGCGAATATGTGATCTTGAGAATGGAGACATACAAGATTACGGCGGGAGAGAAAAGACGCCGGTACGGTTCACTGACTGTTGATCGAGACCTGTCTTGCCATGGATGATCGGTTATGACTTGTCATCCGGCAGACGGGGGCTTGAAACAGGGACCAGTTTAAACCACACAATTGAACACCACCACTCACTCATCTTGCTGTCCAGACTTTGGCTTTTGTATCAGTTCCATTGAGACGTGACATTTGCTCTCCGACGAATCTATATACGGGTATTCAAGTACAATCGTAAAGAAGCAAGGCTCTACGTACCGAGGACCTCGCAAGCAACCTTTGATGTCCTCTGGATGACCATATGTAACCACATCAATTATATCATTACACATCATCAACAGTCTTCCCCTTCTGGTCCCTCGTCAACGGCCCATCTGCAATACCCCCCTGTATCCCCCTCGCCTCTTCCCTCTCCCTCACCTCCCGCTCCTCCCTCCTCCTTCTCGACCTCCTCTCCATATACGACAGGAAACCCGTCCAAATCGCCAGCGCAACACTCATCCCAATCATAGCCCACATCCCCCTCTCAAACCACGGCGCCATGTCCGCCCCGTAAAACACTATACTCCACCACGCATTCACAGCATTATTCCCCATATTCATCCCCGCCAGCACCACCCCTCTAAACACCGCCTCCTTCCCATCCCTCGTCATCGCGTCGTTTGCCCATGCGAAAAAGGTCGCTTGACAGGCGTAGACAGATCCAGACAGGTAGTACATCCCCATCACCACGGCCGTCGCTTTGCTTCCAGCTGGATCTCCAAAGTGTCCATGTTCTGCTGCGAGAATCAAAGAGGGGGTAAGGACCCCGATGATGCCGATGAAGTAACCCACCATGGACCGGTGGTGGGGGTACAAGTCCGTGATGAAGGCGAAGAAGAGGGTGGAGAGAATCCCGACGGCTGGAACGCCTGTTGGGTAGGTGTTTAGTTGGGATATGGTGTATCGTGGCGAGGGAGTGGGGACTGAAGGGGAAGAAGAGGGGGAAGGATTGGACGGGTGGGATTTCAAGTAGAGAGATAAGAGGGCGTTGGAGGAAAAGGACTCGGTTTCGCCTGCGAGGATCCAGAGGAAGATGAAGGAGGGGCAGTGGTAAGTGGAAAAAAGGGAGCGGAGGAAGGGGAGAGAAAAAGGGTGGGTTTTTGTGAGGGAGGATTCGGTTGCGTGTGTTGGTTGGGGGTTGTTGGATGTGGATGTGGTAGAGGGGTGGGTTGTTAGATGGTGATCGAGAGAAGAAGGTGATGGCTTTGGTTCGGGACGTGGTTGATTGTCGGGTTTCGAGCCGGATGTTTTAGGTCCGGACATGGAAGCGGACGGGACCGTCGAGGTGAAATCCGACTCAACAAGCGTATCCCCCGACGACCTCCCCACTTCCGGTTCACCCTGCTTCTCCATCCTCCTTATCGCCAACTCCCGTTCCTCCACACTCAAATACGGCGCCCTCGTCGTCTTGGGCGTATCGGGAAACAGACAAAACCCATATATCGCCACAGGCAACGTAATGATCCCATCAATAATGAACAACCACCTCCATCCACTCAACCCCCTCAATCCATCCAAACTCCCATGAATCCCACTCTGCACAAACCCACCAATCATCGTCCCTGCCAGTCCACTCGCAGTAAACACCCCGGACCGCTTCCCCAGCTCTTGCTCCGTGTACCAGCTTCCGAGGATATAATGCGTGCCGACAAAGGTCGTTGACTCGGCAACCCCCTGGAAAAATCGAATAGCCAGTATGTCGCCGGGGTGTCGAGCGGCGGCAGTGACCATGGTCAGACCGGCCCAGAGGACCATCATCCCGGGAAAAAAGATGCGCGGGGCGATGTAGTGGAGAGATAAGTTGGAGGGGATTTGGCCGAGGACGTAGCCGATGGTGAAGCACGTGTTGATTTGGTTGAGTTGGTTGCCGTGGAAGGAAAGGGATTCTTTCATGCCGGAGACGTAGGCGTTGGAGAGGGCAGTGCGGTCGAGGTAGTTGAGGAAGTAGGAGAGGCAGCAGAAGGTGAGGATGAAGAAGTCGATTTTGAGGAGGAGGCGGCGCTCGAGGGGGTTGGAAGAGGGGCCGCTGGAATGGAAGTAGGAGCGGAGGCGGGTGGTGAATCCCGTGGACCCGGGGGTGGGATGCCCGGGGGGTGGAGGTTTGGCCATTCCAGTCGTGTGTGTGGTCGGTAAGTCGGTGTGGGGGAAGTTACTAAAGCACCTCTAGGTAGGCCGATAAATGAGGGCGGTTGACGGTGGTGTAGACTAGGTCTGGCTCAATGGCGACTTATTCGACGTCCGGTTGATGTTGTGATGCTATCAGAAGAAGGGTATTGTCGTCGTGGTGAGGATGCCGATGTGAGATATCAGACAAAGAAGGGACGTCGGACGTCGTCTGGACCCTGCAGGTGTGATCAAACCGTGCCTCTGCCCGTCAAGCGTCAAGCGTCAACCTATGCCGTTGGTCGGGGCGGCGTCGGACTGCGTACAGCCAAATGTCCAATGATGAAATGATCGACGAAAGCGTGATGCGATCAATCCAATTCCATCAATCAGTGGTTGGGGTAGACAATGGCTTGTGTTTCTTCAAATTGATGTGCGCCAACCCAAAGGTGAAAGACCTCTGGGCGATGTCCTTTGCGCGACCTCCAGGTGGTACAAAGAATAGCTTAATGCTGAGCTTATTCACGACGGTCGACTTTCATGTTGTAGTACCTACTGCATTTGGATCGTGGTATGATGCCGATTGATGCTATTTAAATGTTGATATCGCTCACCGCCGCTATATGTACCTCTGGGTTTTCTTTTCTTTTGTCATCTGGAGGATGTTGTTCGCTAAGAAAAAAAAAAAAAAGAAATGTTAGATGAGGTATAGGTAGGTAGAGATAGGTGATCAAAACAAAAACATAAACAATATTTGGTAGGCATCCAGTCTTCTTTTGTTAGTCACACACCCACTCACGTTCGACAAAGTGACGTCGGGACGGCGGGAGGAGCACGGTCGCGGTTGTCGGTCGGCCTTTTCCTTTCAGAGTTTTGCGCCAAGCGCCGGGCGGTAAAAGCCGAGGCTACCATACCTTATCTACACTACAAGTACAGGGTGCCTTGACAACTGAAGTCGCGGGGTTGTAGTAAGGCGACGGAGATTGGGTAGGTAGCTACAGTCAGCCCCCTCCTACCAGATGCTTTGACATTTTGGTATTTTCGTCTGTATTGTAATGCTAGAGTCGGGCCTGTACCGGGCATCATTTGGAATTTTTATTGCAAGGAAGAACTCAATCGTCTGAAATGACTGATGATCGCAAAGAACATTGAATCGTAGTGTAAATTGTTAGTGTCAATGCCACCAATGGCATCAAGAACCCCGCTATCAAGCATGCTGCACGTCTAAATCCACCACCCTGTAGCGGGGGACCTTACCCCACTACATACGGCCCCGGCCCGGAGAACGGAAGGAATACTCCACTGAACAACGTCCCCGCCGCCGCCACATGTCAAATGCCATCAGAAATACCTACGTTCAATTATTTGATCATGATATGCAAACATGACAGCTTACAGCCATCGGTCATCATAACCCCCAGGCCATCTACTTCTACAAAGCAGCCTTCTTACACAACTTGCCCGTCTGCAGCGTCAACCACTTCTTCTGGCCCTGCACCTCCCACTCCTCCGACCCAACCGCCGTCGGCGCCCAAAACAGTCCCGTGGGATCAACCGCCTTCTTAATCTGCCTCAACCTCTCATAATTGCTTCCGAAATACGCCTCCCCGAATTCCGGCTCCATCACATCTCCCTCATTCAAGTACCCTCCAGGTCCATAACCCCTAAGTCTACCCATCCAATCCTCGGTAATCTTCCTGTTGATGGCCTCCACGCCAGCAGCATTGAGGCTGGCATTCCAAGAAGTGCCAAAGATACCGTACCACACCGTATCGCGCCAGTGCGAGTTGGTCGCGCTGTCAGGAGTCCCAGCGGGTGCTTTAGCCTGCATGTTATACTGAACAAGAGCCGACCCGTCCTCAACGACAGAGCGAACGGCCTTCATCATGCCCGTGAGCGTCTCCTCGTCTTCCCAGTTCTTGGCCGGGAAGAGGCGCGAGGCGGTGCGGACGGAGGTAGTACTCACCGCCTCGGGAGGATAGCTGGCGGTCCAAGCATCGTAGTAGTTATCATACTCGAAGAACTTGGGGGATCCGACGAAGCCGGCGTTGAATCCGATCTTGGTCCACTCATCAAGCAAAGGTTGGACGAGCGTCTTCAAGTCTGCTAGCTTCATCCCGGGAGCCCAGAAGGGATTCATCAGGAACGCGAACCCGTCAGTCAGAGGGGACGGGAAAACCAGCGAGTACCCATGCGTGCCGGCCTTGGCGTACTCCGGGAAGCGGCGCCAGTAGGCGTACATGCCCTCCCAGAAGACGTCGTTGGTCAGAGCCGAGGTATTTCCGGACACGACGGTGAAGGTCATACCTGAGACGTTGGTCTTGGGCCACACTTTGACGGTCATGCCGGTTACGACACCAAAGGTGGCACCGCCGCCGCCGCGGAGCGCCCAGAAGAGGTCGGGGTGGTGGGTTTCGTCGGCGGTGACGAAGCGGCCGTTGGGCAGGACGACGTCAATGGAGAGTACTTGGTCAGACCCAAGCCCGGCGATGGAGGTCATGGGGGAGTGGCCACCGCCGGCGGTGAAACCTCCTGCAACACCGACGGTGCGGCAATCGCCGCCGATGGCAGTGACGTCGTGTTTATTGGCAGCCTCGTAGAGCTCCTTGACCTCAATACCGGCGCCAATCGTAAAGGCGGGGCCAGAGTAGGAAGGAGTCTTGATGGACTTGATGTACTCCAGCTTCTTGAGGTTGTGCGTCCAGATTGACAGGGCACCGTAACCAGTGCTCTTACCGAGGAAATCATGGCCAGTGTTCTTGACTACCAACCTCAAGTTCAAGTTTCTAGCAAAGTTGATAGCGAGCTGGATTTGGGTGACATTGGTGGCCTTGACGGCATAAACGGGGAATCCGCCGAGCGTGCAGGTAGACGAGTTGCCGTTCTGGGGCATGCAAGTCTCGCCCTGGAACATGGGGAACATGATGGACGTGGGATCGGCGGTGTGCAGGTCGGAAGAAGTCCAGTTGGCCATGATGGTCTGGCATTTGGCGGCGTTGTAGACGCCCGAATTGGGGTAGCAGACGGCACCAATAGGCACGGTCTCGATGAGGGCGCCGCCGGTCAAGAGGTCAAAAACCAGCCAGATGGAACGGTTGGGCCAGAGAGGGTCACCCGGCGCGGTCTTGCAGCCAGAGCTGGCAAGAAAAGTGCGCTTCTGGACCTCGGTGGTGCCATCGTCCTCGGGGAAAGCAAAGAGGGTGATGTTGGAGAGGTTGTGGTCGCTAAGGTTGGCGATGACATCGTCGGTCAAGACAAAGGCCTCGGGAGCGTTTGAGTCGGCGACGGCTTTGCCGGCAGGGGCAACCGTCTTTTCGTTGGCCTCTAATTTGTGTTAGTGGTAGTCACCCGAAGGCGGAGACGTGGAAGACGCACCCAAAACAACACCCTCCTCAGTCTGGATAGTCTGGCCAGCAACAAGCTGGGAGAAAGGCAAGGCGGCGGCAGCTGCCAGAAACAGGGCCCGGCGGAGCGAAGGGACAGCCATGTTGGAGATGACTGATCAGAAAAAGACAAGGGAACTACTAATCAACATGGGAGATCATCACCATAAGTACTTTTTCCCGTCTCTCTTTCTCTGCCCTTCCCCTCTTGACATCCCGAGGCCGTGGTGGTCTCCAACTCTCGATGAATTAGCCCAAGCAAAGGTACCATATCCACTCTGCTCTAGCGTCGCATCCCATGCCGCTTTTGGTGTTGATACGGCATGATGGCAGTGGAACCTCATTCCCAGAGGTTGAATACATCCCGCATCACTTGTGTCGACGAGGGTAACATTTTGCGGCTGCTTGGTTCAAGTCTCGGTATCCGGCCGCGCCGTGTATATGCCACTCGGCTATACCCCTGCAAAGCAGGTGTTGAGCCAATATGCCGCCGTCGAGTGGTTTGCCGAGTAGCGAGAGCGAAAGAGTGCGAATGTGTGTTATTGTGGCATGGGTCGTGCCGTCGAAGGAGGCAAGTGTGGTTGTAGGCTACGGGCCGGGAAGTTATTGCCGAGTGGAACCGACGAAAGAGGTTGGACTTTTGAGAGACGGACGGATGCCGAAAGCAAAATTCCATGATTGATGTCTGTTCGTATCCTCGGTTCGCTGCTGCTGCAGGGGTCGTGCGGCTGGGGATGGAAAGATTCTCTGGGGGTTCTGGAGAAGTTCTGGAGCCACTAACACGCAGCCGAATGTAACGGTGTTGCAGTCGCCCCAGTCCAAGTCTTGCCAGACCGTGGCGATCATGTTCCTTTCCTCCTTTTCCCCCTTCCAACATGCATATCTTGGGCACTAACGATGCAGGTACTTTTGACTCGGGGGGGCTGTCGACGAATCGCATCATCCGAACAATGGCCCCGCCGGTCTCTTCTCAGTCGACAGAGGCCACGAGGAACTCGGAATCTGCAGCCATTTCTGGCGTCGTCTTGCATTCACTTCCACTTGTCGTCCCTTGTCTGCTTCTCGCCTGTTGGTCGAAAACTGTTCGGCTCGCCAAGTTCTCGAAAAGGAAATCTTTCCATACATATGGATCCATACGACGGAACGAGGAGCTGGATCAGGAACCGGATGTCAAGTCCGTCCACCTTAGCCAAGCTCTAGCTCGGATGCCATTATTTACAATGGGCGACAACTCCATTGGCAGTTTCTGAACTGATTGTTAGGTGACGTCGGGAAAACGGCAACATGGAATCACCTTTCCCATCTGCCGGACTCCACACTTGGGATATGCATACCTACTTACCTTCTAGAATCAGTAGTTAAAAATCCGCCCGGCTTCGCACTGTAATCTCGTTAACAGAGTTGAAATGCAACGAAAGGGAAACGTCGGATGCCGTTTGGTTCCAGCCACGCAAAATGTTGGTTCGTTCTTTGGAGAAGAATACAACCAATCATTCTACATATCGACATGTGGGAGAGAAGATGAGTATGGGTGGAAAAGGAAGTCGGCACATACCTACACTTTTCTTTGCTTCGCTTCCGGATCCCGGTTGCCGTTCCCAGGATTGGCCGAACTGGACTTGGACGACTCGGTTGACAAGAAGCGAATCAGGCAGAAATGTTAAAGGTGAAGGAGGTGGGGTGGCTTCGTTGAGAGTTGTGATTTTCGATGATGGCTAAGTTGTTGTACCAAGTTCCTTCGCCCGGCAGTCAACAACACCAAGCGAGGCGAGCAAGATCGAACTGCGGGTGGTTGGATGCAGGTGCTACGGTGGCCGTACCTGCGCATGGCAGTAGGTGATGGTTCGAAAGGCGGCCCGCTCCGAAGGCAGGTACGACCTGAAAGGAAATGGGGTGCGTCTCCCAACTTCAACCACGAGGAAGGAACCAACTCATGGACACTGAAGAAATGACCGAGTCGAACAGACCTTACTTGCCCTTGCTATTGACCAATACACTGCGTCAAGAGTTGGATGGCACCAAAGGCACACCTCTCTATCGAAAAACGGGAGGCTCATATGGCTAGTGGCCGAGGTGGGGGAGATTATCCCATGACTCAGCCGGTTGCCGTTCTATTCACAAGTGAGGCTGGTATTGTTTGCGTGAGGTTAACCCACTAGTGGTCCAGGTCCTTCTCTTCTTGCCTTTCCTGGCTTGGGCAGCAGAGACTGTTTTCTCGTTTCGTCGAGGAAAGAAGGGGGCATCGATGCTACCTGGAGAAATGACGGTTTTTTTTTTGGCAGGTATGTGGAAAGAGGCAGTATGGAGAGGATATGCCGTGGATGTGCCAAGTGTCGTTCTTTCCTCCTCTTCTTCTTAGTCTGTGTTGCGAGCGCGCGGGGTGTATCACCAATTTTGCATGCGGACCAGGGACTAAGGTAGGTACTTGGGTTGGGTCCGACTGCGCAGGCCACTCGGACACTTCCAGGTTGACTTCGCGTTGGAGACTGAGAAAAACATGTCCCAGAACACCAAATACACCCAACTACGACCGAGGGCAAAAAAAAAAAAAAGACAAAAAAAAAAAAAAAAGAAAGAAAAACAGCCGATGACAATCAACGACCGACGCCCACGGCTCATCCGACTACCATGAGTAACGCCATAAATACGGACTTCTTTTCCATTGCCAGAAGGCCATCGAGTCCGATCAAGTTGACCAAGGAATCAGCTCCACGGTTCAAACTCTCCTCGAAAAACCTCCAGAAAAACACCATACCGAAGCCACTCGAGCCTCTGTCATTACTGGAAAGCGTTGAGTACGATAATCGATCCAAACGCCACCCACCTCATCCTGTCCGAATCTCCGTCGCGAAGAAGAACACCAACAAGGAACAAGGACAGATCATCAAGATTGCGACGGCGCACATTCCTCGCCTTACGTCTGTCGGCGAACACTTCTGATGTGACCCCCAGAAGGGATTACAGATGTTAAAGAGTACGACACCAAGGAGCACCGCGAACGCTAGCAGACACTCGAAAGCGGAAGCCATCGCACTGCTTCCAAGACACCACGAACGAGAGACCACCAACCAGATAAGCATGACCACGAGGAGACAACTCACAAGCATCCATTCCTATCCTCGACATTGATGCGCAATGTCCCGAACGATACACCAGCTGTTGGTGCCAACCAGGTCTCGACCGCAAAGACCTCGATGAACATTTACCGAACCCATATCGTGTCATGTCCACAAAAACAACATCGAAACATATCTTCAGGGATGAACACCATATTGACAAGATCGTTGACGACGGGAGATCTCTGACCCTTGTCGGGATCGACCGTTGCACTGTCCGATGACGATGGCTGACAAAATGAGGAGAAATCCCTCCTCATGGGCTGAGCTATGGATCCCTTCAAATCATGTGTTTGCGGTATTTGCAGATCAGAGATAACCAAACTCCGGTTTGTTTACACGCTATCGAGAGTTCACTGGTGCCGCATAGGGCGCATCCGAGACCCTGGTTTCACGATTATCTTGATCATGCTTTGCGAAACTCAAAAGATAACGTGCAGAGCAGGGACAAGCACCCGAACCGAACCCTCAATATGCACCTCAGATGGATCTCCATGGACCCCATGTGAGAGACAATCCAACAAAAATAGGCCTGTCGGCTTCTCACCTGACATCACAACGCCAAACATTGTTGAGATAATGAGCAGCAAGCGATTAAGAGCATGCATTAGCCCGGCTGCTGGTAGACGACAATGCTGACGATCACGGGTTGGCGCGGGGAAACACTGCACGTAGTCTCCGTACTCGCCGTAGTCTACTGCACGCCAATGAAGCTGCGTCGTGCGGCATTGGGCGTCGGCACGGTCTGATTGGTGGATGCGGCACCCTGCTTGTTGACGTTGTGTTGGCACCCCGCAGTCGAATCATCCCACTTGGGGCTGACTGGCCGCCCAGGTCTGAGGGGATATCGAGGCATCACGGCATTCCGACGCCTTGTTTGGCTTGGATCCCGGTCTGGGTAGGGCGTCAACCGACCAAAACGCGCGACGACGCAAGCGCGGCATTGTTGGGTATCGACGCAGTGCGTCCATATCGGAGCTGTCAGGGATGGCATGCCATGTTTCCGAAGAACCGATCCCGTGGGTTGACTGGTTATCATTTGGTGTGATTCGGACTGGAGACAGCGCAGCGCATGCGGCTGGCCATCGACTTCGGCGCAAACATTGAGGAAGATGACTGGGAAAGGGCATGATCTGGAGGAGTGGTCGATAAAACTCGAGACGAGCCTCGCTCCCCATCTCCTCGCTTTCTGTCTGGCTTTCTTTTCTTCTTCAGTCCCCACCTCCAGCATCACCAAGGCCTGCTTCCTTTTTGCTGGGTACCAGACCCTACTGCATCTTCTTTCTTCATCTTGAGGAGCTAGTCCTCTTCTGTCACTTTGCTGGCCAACACTTCCACCGGAAATCAGATACCCCGTTTCACCATCAGCATGGCGAGCACAGTTCGCCCCCGGGGTCACCAGCATGACCTGAAGGCTTCTGGAAAGCTTTCGAACGGCATGACGCAGGACAGTCAGGATGGCTTTGAGATTTCGTATGTTTTGCTCCTTTTCAGTTCATCAAGACCATATCATGCTAACTCCCATGTCAACCAGACCCTTCACAACCTCTCTTGTAGCCCTCCAGTTCTCAACGGGCGCTCCTCTCCTCGTTCACCGCGCCTTTCTTGAACAGCATTCCCTCCTTGCTCTTCTCTGCATCACCAACTCCGTCGCCTCCCCTATTACCTCCCCCGCTTTGAGTCCTTCCCAAGGTCCCAGATCCCTCTCCAGAACCGCTTCATACTTCTCCTCTCAGCAACCCAACTCTGCATCCAATCCTCTATCTCCAGGTGCCTCGGGATACGTCATCAACTTTGCCGACATTTCCCCCCAGGCCGGCCATGTCTTGGTCCAATATCTGTACTCACCAGACAAATACCACACCCTCCGGTATACTGGATGGCCGGTGATCCCGGAACGCCAACTGACTGTGAGCCGCTTTCAGACGGCAGTAGAGGTGTATGGAGCAGCGAAAAAGTATGAACTCCGCGGGTTGGAGCAACTGGCCAAGAAGGAGATGCTCGAGTTGGGAGGGCGATTGGATGCTTTTACTGTTATTGGGGTTTTGGAACAACAACCGACTGACAGCGAGGACAAATGGCTGGACGAGTTCGTCAAGGGCTGGGCGAGAAAGGCATTTCAAGACCCTGGAAGGGTGTTGAGGGCTCAGGAGGAGGATGAAACACAGGGACAACAGGAAACGCCACAGGGGATGGCTTTGGCTAGGAAGTTCATGAGGGGCTTGTTGGAGGTTTATGAGGAGATGAACTCCACCAAGAAACACGATACCAACGAGCCAGCAGACGACTTCGCGACAGCAGCGACAACACAAGTCGAAAGTCTCGGCCTCGAAGAACCCCTTCCCCAGCCAGCCGAAGTCGAAATCACAAAGGAGACATTCTCCATTGCCACCGAGACGAAGCACGTCGACTTCAACGACAACTCTACTGCCCCTGCCACTGCTACGCCCGTCCAGCAACACGAGCACACCATCTACCGACCAGTCACCCCTCCTCCTCGATTTGAGTCTCCCCGACACGAGTTCCACGAACAAGACCAAGTCAAGGAGCTCGAAGCGGACCAGTGGGTGTCCCCTGCCACCTCTCCTTCGTTGGAAGCCGCGCTCGGGTTGCAGCCAGCTGAATACAATGAACTACCTACCGACGGAGCTGTAGAACTCTCTCCCAAATTCTCTCACGATTTCTCCATTGAGCGGGATTCGCACCACGAGCCGGACAGGGAATCGATACTGGAGCCGGAGCCGGAGGTAGAAGAGCCAGTCATGATTCCATTGGATGCGGTTGTTGATGATGATATCTCGGAAGAGAAGGCGGAGGGAAAACAAGAGCACGAGCAGGACACGCCAGTGGCACATGAGCAGAAGGAGGTGGAACGCCACGAACAGCCACATGTTGAGCACATCGAGCACAGTGAGCCGGAGATCGCACACAAGCAGGAAACAGAATACAAAGAGTTGGAGTTGCAGCTTGAGCATAACGAACCTGAGATCAAGGAGCCGGAGGCAGAAACCAAAGAGGAGGAAGCATTCAGCACACCCATGGAGACCTTGCGAACACCCATGGAGGGCCTCGTCTACACCTCCGCGCAAAAGGAGCTCGAACGTCCAGTCACTCCCCAACCACGGGAGAGCGTCCAGACACCACCAGAAGGCCTTCGTACCCCCCAGAACGGTCTCAACTCTGAGTCCTTCGCCGAAGATTCCCCTGCCTCCGTAACCGCCAGCCCCAGCAGCCCCAGCAAGAGCCGCAAGAAGAACCTCAAAAGGAAGGCCAAGTTGGCCGAAGCCAAAAAGCGAGCATCGGCAACTCTTTCGCCCGTCATGTCCGTCGCCTCTTCGGACGCAACTCCCTTCGAGATCCCCGCCCGAGATATTGCGTCACCCGAGCCTCTCTCGCTTGAGGCATCCAAGGACAAACCTGCAAAAGGTATTTGGAACTGGACACCGTCTTATGATGAAGGCAAGGATTGGAACAAGTCATTGACATTTTCCACTTCAGAGGGAAATAAGGGGCAATTGGGTAGTACGGGAGTTCTGGGGGCACCTGTTGAGATCATTTCCGGAGGAGTTGATTTGCCTGAGGCTACGATAAAGAACACTGCGTTTGAAGACGAGCTTACACGAGAGTCTGATCAGGCACATCAGGGGCCTTACGATTCTGAGACTCCAAAGTCTCAGATGTCAGCGTTTGACCAGGCTAAGCGAGTGCTCAAGAGCATGAAGGAGCGACCGCAGACTCCCGTTCAACCGGTGAGTGAGGGACACACACCAGGGGAGCAGGCTCCCATTGATGAGCTTACCACCAGCCCCAAGTCCCCCAAGAAGAAGCGCAAGGCAAGGAAGAAGACTATCAATCCCGCTGAAGAGTCCACAGCTCTAGTCCAGGCAGGGTCTACAACTCAGGCGGCGGAAACGCCAGCCGAAACACCCCAGGAAACACCCCAAGAAACGGCAACCCAGCCGGTTCTCTCACGCCCAGGTCCCGCAAAGCCAACGAAGAAGAAGACGAACAGAGACCGCAAAGACTCCAAACTCTCCCCCGAGCCTACCGAAATCCTCGCACCCCCGACTTCCAGCCCTTCCAGCCCGGATATCCGCTCCTCTCTGCAATCACCACCACAATCCCCGCCACAACCGGCTTACAAGATCTTTTGGCCCTGGGGTTCCAGCAAGCAGGCAAACCAGCCCAAGGACGAGCCGTTGAGCTTGGATCAGGCACTCGCTCCTGCCCCGAAGTCCGAGCAGAAGAAGCCTGAGCCTGAAACGACCCCGGAGCCATTGGCGCTTGAGGGCCAATCGGATGCGCCCACAGAGCCCGCCAGCTCGCCCAAGAAAAAGAAGACCACAAAGAGGAAGAAGAGCAGCTCAAAGATCGCTAGTGGTGGTGGTGCTTCTGTCGTGGAACCAGAGCCTGAGACCCAACCGCAACCGCGGGAAAGTGAGGCTGCACCAGAGACTGCCGCTGCCCAAGCGCGGCCCGAAGTTACACAGCAGGACGAGCCCAAGGATGACAAGGACAACACCAACACCGAGGACATGGCCCAAGTCGCCCAACCGGGACGGGATGAGATGCAACCCGAAGTCCAACCAGTGGTGGAGCACCACGCAGTTCAACCGACGATCGAGGAACAACAATCTGAGGCCCAACCGGAACCGACCGTTGTCGACCAAGACCAGCTATCCTACGACCTTGTGCCGCCCATTGAGATCCAGACACACATTATCAGCCCTACTGGTGCCATCATTGACACCCTTCCCACCATCCCAGAGGACATCACCCCATCAGCTTCGACTATCAACTTTGCCAACCCAAGCCTGACGGACTCCGTGACAGATACCCTTTCCAACTCGGTAGCGTTTACAGCTGTGGAGTATCAGAACTCTACGGCTACGCTACCGCTGCCGGTTGATGTGGGTGCTGTTGGAGGAGTCCATGAGCTCGCTGCCGACCGGCCGATTGAGGCCCATGCCACGACTGTTGGTAAAGCTCCAGGAGCAGATGAGGTTGAACTTGTTGGTGAGGAGCCTGAGACTCCGGGAGGAGGTGCACTGCTTGTTGATGCCCATGATGTGGTGTCCAAGCCGGTTGAACCTGTCTCCGAGTCCCAGTCCAAGCCATCCAAGATTCCACTTCCCTCTGCCAAGGCAGATGACACGCCCCCAGGACAACAGACTCCCTCTGAAGGTGGTTGGGGATCATGGCTAGGAGTACGGAAGAACAAGAAGAAGGCTGCTGACAAGGACAAGACCGCCGACAAGGACAAGAGCAAGAAGGATGACGTCAAGAAGACCTTGACATCCAAGGCCAGCAAGGCTAGTATCAAGGGTCTCTCCACAGCGACATCAGGTCCGAGCGCCGAACCGCTCCCTCCCGCCATTTCCACTTCCGCCGTCCAGCCCAACCCCGAGGCAGCCCAGTCCAAGACACAGTTGACCTCTACTGAACCAACCACCGAGTCTCAGTCTCCCGCCGTCGCCGCCACCGCCGCTGAACCGGATCAGCTGACCCAACGAGCTCTCAACTCGGTCAAATCCGATCCCGAACTCCGACCGTCTACTTCCTCGTCAACTACCACCAACGACGCTGCCATTCAAGCTCTGAGCCAGAGCCAGACAAGCACTGGCAAGTCTGGTGGATGGGGATTCCCGCTTGGTAAGAAGAGGAGGAACACGAGTGCTGCTCATGGACCTGCCCCGCCGGTAGTCGCTGCAGCAACACCTGCTGCGGCTGCAGTACCAAAGGCCATTCCCGAAGCGGTGACGTCGACTGTTGGCGGACCAGAGATTGCGGGAAGTCAGGGAAGCGGTAGTGGTAATGGAAACTGGAGTGCCACTGGCTGGTTGTTTCCAGGGGTGGGAGGGAAGGATGGAAAGGACGGCAAGGAGACACATGGTAATGGTGATGGTGCCGGGAAAGGGGGTGATGCTTCTGGGGATGACGATGGGAAGGTAAACGGTGATGGTGAACAGGTTGATGTCAAGGGTGTCAGTGAAGAAGAGCAAGACAAGCAGGTTGCGGACAATGCAATCGAGGTTGGAGCTAAGGACGAAGACGGCATGGACAAAGCGAACAACAGCACCGAAAGGGTCAAGGAAGCCATCACCAACGAAGCTTCCGTCATTGCTTCCGCCGCTGATGAAGCCCTGGACAAGGCGTTGAACGCGGTCAGCTCCGTCACCAGCTCCATCAAGGACGCGGTCAACAACGCCGTGAGCACCGGTAGCGACACCGTCACCGATCCTTCCACCCTACCCGCCGAACCCGCCGAACCTACCGAGCCCGCCTCTACCGAAGTAGCCTCCGAGCAACCACCCGCGGTTCCTCCTACTGCCGTCACAAAACCCGTCTCAGCTTCGGGACCATTCATCACCACCACCTCCAACACGATTCCAGGTGAAGGCGCAGAGCAGTTTTTTCTTGACCAGCAGCCTGATGGTAGTAACACACAAGTACAGACCCCATCCGCGCCTATCGAGAGTCCTGGAGATGGGAGTAATCCCGACGCCCAGATCACCAATGTTTCCATTCTCCCCGCTCTCAGCACGCAGCCCTCTCTCGCCGCATTCCCCGCTGCTTCCGCTGCCGATGGAAATGCAAATGCAAATGGGGCGAAAGGGGAGTCAAAAGGGAAGACGGATGTTTCGGTTGCAACTATTGCGGAAGTTCAGGGAGAGACTCAGGAACCGTCGCCGGCTGAGACACCGGATGCTGGGAAGGGACTCTGGTCAGGAGGGAAGGGAGACGGAAAGGATGGAGGGAAGGATGGGGCAAAGGGACAGGAGCAGCAGGCACCATCAAAGCCAAAGGCCAAGACTCGAAGCGATTCGTGGAGTCTTTGGGGGATGTCGGGGAGGAGCAAGAGGAATAGTGTGAGCAGTTCCTAGGGGGCGGGTCTCGTGGTGGAATGGACTTGATGATGGGGTTGAGGGGAGCAATTCTTTGATCGTGTTTCTTTGGTTTGTTTGATTGGGATTTGGGTCAAGTCATGGGTCGGATATCGGACATTGCACTCTTCGTTTCTTTTGTCGCATGCGGGCGGCCTTTTGCTTTTGGTTACTTCTTCCTTTTCTCTCTTTTTCCTGTTCTATCTCTCTAGCGCGCTTCATGCATTTCCTGTTTTTTTTTTTTCGGTCCTCATCTTCCTTACTTGCGTTGTCAGATCAAGATGCACACCAGGAGTTACGAGCTATGACATCTCCTTTTTTCCAGTTCTCTAGCAGCTCAGTCCAGGTACCTAGGATACGGTAGCACATAACGTTGAACAAACTTCTTTCTTAACCCATCGCAAGCTTTTCTTTCCAAAGTACTTGAGATGCTTTGAGAACGCATCTATCTGCGTTGTTGTAGTCTTAGAACTCATAACCAATACCGGTATCTTCAGCAGACGTAATGACTGACTATGATATCTATCTCCTCATTCTCGAGATTAGTCGCATACCTAAGGAGGAGATATGCAGACACCATGCATGGGATGGGGATACCAGATGTCTGAGTAGGTACCTATCCTTCTTCTCCTTCTTCTTCCTTTAACGGAGGATAGGGTAACTAAAATGCCATCTTCCCACGCCACCACGAAGAACATCGACTAAAGGCCCGCATAACTTGTGTGTGGTAGGTAGAGCGGATCACTAGGTAGCACCTACCTGCCTTACCTTCGCTGTCCTATATCTAGAGGTACCTACCTACCTACCTACCTACAAGTACCTATGGAGAGCCGAAGCGCAGGCATCTCGTCTGCCGTCTGCCGTGTAGTGCCCCATATCGGGCCATATGGTACGTACTACCTAGGGATTCAATTCAATTCCCTTCCCTTTCTTGTTATGGCAGAGGCTAGAAGGTAGTATAGAAGCTAGAAGCTAGAAGCTAGAAGCAGTACCTACCGGCCGGCTGGCTGCTGTAGTACATGTACATACCGCGCTGCGCTATCAGTTAGTCTAGTTACCCACTGCACGCTCCTCGCTCCTTGCCCGCCGCGCATCGGTTGATCTGTCGGTCGGTTGATCTGTCGGTCGGTTGGTCGGTCGGTCGGTCGTTCGTTGCGCACTCGGCAATAGGTAACAAACAGGGTAGGGCAGGGCAGGGCAGGGCAGGGTGGCAGAGTGTTGTTCATAGCAGTCGAAAGTGTTCTGGTTAGGTAGGTGTTTCTAGGTACCTCACTCAGTGTGATGAGATCCCATCTAGGTACACAACCGGCCGGCTGGTGCTGCGCTGTACTCTGCCTGTACTAGTGTAAGGTACCTAGATGGCAGTAGACTCTTGAAGGAACCTAGGTAAGTATGTAGAGGTACACTCGTTACGGATGAACTCACGGTCTATGGTCCTGTGGTTAGTTGGTTATAGACTTGCCGGGGATTTATTTCGAATACAGCTTCCGCCAAGTACGGACGGGCTGGGCCCAATCCGATCCGGTCTGGATGGAGATGCCACCGCCACGGAGTGCGGACGGATCGGGCGGATTGGCTTCCAGAGGAAACTGCTAAGGGTTGTGGCTGAGATGCCAGAAAAAAAAAAAAGAGAGAGAGAGAGAAGAGAAAGAAAGAGGGAGAGATGCTTGAGTGAGAAAAAAAAAAAAAAAGAAAAGAAAACAATAATAACCAGCACATGCGATGAATTCACGTTTCACGCTTTCATGCAAAGGATGCAATGTAAACAAGTTGAAGATATCTCATGAATTAGATTCCATACATCCCAAAACCCGCTTGCCTTAGTATCAGTAGCTAAATCGATCGGTAAGAACTAGAGTACAAACATACATCATATGAAAACCTGGTAGGTAGGTACCTAGGTAGGTGGATTCGCCTCAATTACAACCTTCAATCCAAAATCATCCAGAACAAAAAAAGAAAAAGAAACGAAAAAGCCACACCGAGTCCAAAAACACCAAAGTAGATCCCACCAACCAACCAACCAACCATCCAACACGTCGTCATATCCGAGAAAAAAAAACGGTAACAAAAAGTAAAAACATCGTTGACAAAATTCTTCATGAGTAAGATGCAAAAGCAGGGTATATCACCGCCTCCCCTCATCGCCCCAACACCCGCCGCGAGTAAGCATGTAATGACAAAGAAGATAATGAAGAAGAAGAAAAGCCCAGTAGCAGTAGTACAACAGAAAGGAAGAAAAAAAAAGCGCCCATTGTAATCTGCTTGCCTGCTTGGTTGCTTGGTTGCTTGGTTGCTTGCTTGCTTCCCGTTATGCGCCTTGCGCCTTGGGACATGCAGTAGTCTGTCGCTATGCAGTGCAGAAGGCAGATTGCTTGCGACGGCACCGAGCGCATGCCATGCATGTCACACACCCAACCCACGGGGGACATGCATCGCACACCCACTTCGAAAACGTAGAAAGAATGCCGAAATCCATGACCGATAGTGCACCTCGGTATTCGGATAGATAAGCGACATTTTGCTGGCTTGGATTCGGTGCCACCATAATAATGGTAGAATCGTCCGCTTGAACCCCGTCAGTTCCATCATTTGCATTCCTTCTTCTTGATAGCAATGCGAAGGCGAGGGTGATCGGCAATGGAGGATGCAAAATGGCCTCGGGATGACCCCGAGAGGTCTTGGCCTCCGAAAAGGGTGAGTTGAGTCGCACCGTGATTGGTGGGTGCCACCAGCCAGCTGGTCATTTCCCACTCCACTCCCAGAATGCCGTATCAGAGGAAGGAAACACTCCGCGTGGGACTGGTACTTGAGGCAGCCAACAATCGTGCGATTGAACATGGCAAGATGCGATTACCAGACCCTTAAGATCGCCTCCGGTGGGTTGTAGACGGGGTATTTGATATCAAGATTTATACGTCGTTTGAAGCAAAGCTTGCGATGGAGGTTGCTTCGTATTATCATTGCCCGCTGCAACCCCACTGCAAGGCCGCTGTGCAAATGACTCACGAGGGGGCGACCGCTAGCTTCTGCTCGCCGAGAGAATGCCCAAAGATGCCTGTTGCACTTGGCTTCTTGATCGCTAGGCAGAAAAGGCTATCATGTCGGATTACCGCTTTAGGCGCGGTGTACATCCGCATAGGCTCCGCCACCATAAACCTGGCTATGGGTATGGCTGGTTTGTGCGGCGCCATAGCTATCCGTCACACCATAGCTGGAATCCCATGCGCGGGGCCCTTGTGATACCGACACCCCGGACTGTACGTAATTGCCGTGGGCATGATGCGAATGGGGGCTATGCTGTGTTGAACTTGTCATACCATACGGCGATGAAAGGCTTTGTGTGGATCCCCTATTGTCATACACGCCCGAAAGGGTCGAGATGCGGAGGCCGGGTACCGACATGGGGGAGCTGGTTTGTCGTGATGGCGACATGGGCCTGCCCGAAGTCCCGTACGGCGTCCATGAGGAGGCACCGCCAAGAGGCCGTGGACTTGCCAGTGAGTCGGCGAGATGGTGACTGGCACCCATGTAGCCCGTTGAAGACTGATCGGTAGACGAGACTGTGCTCGGTGTGGGTGGCAGGCCGTACAGGGGACCAGTTGCAGATGGTGCGGCGGGAATGCTGAGGGCCGATGGCGAAGTGCTGTACTTGGAGATGATCTTCTTCAACGCCTGATCCAAGATCTTCCACGCAAACACCTTGATATCCTTCTCAATATTTCTCGGCTTGGGGTTACCGAACTGCATGATGACCTTGAAGAACTCCTCGCTGTCGGGCTTTTGTTTGCTGACCGTCAAGGGGCGGAATCCTTCGAGGTTCCTTCGGATTCGGTTCCTCTCCTCCACCGAGAATCGATTTGGCGCCGCAACTAGTTGCTCAAGCAAATGGATGGTATCCACCGATGTGACATAGCACTCCTGCTTCTCAGCCCACCAGATGCAGCTAATGCAAATGGCGCCTGAAGGCCTCTCCGTCACGTTGACGGGCTTGAATCTGGTGGTGAGAACGGCACCGTGTTGTGACTTGTCGAATATGACGATCCTTCGCTTGTTCTCAAACTCTTCCTGGGTCCAGTTCTCCGCCATGGACCCAAGGTCACCGACAATGTTGAGCGTGGCCTTGTTCTGATACAAGGGGTATCCGTATCCATTGCCGCCATGTCCACCAGAGCCCCCTTGCTGAGGAATCGTGCTTGTTCTTGTGAGGGTCGGTGCGCTAGATGACGAGCTGATACTCGACAAACTGGTGCGGGTCAATCCTGTGTGGGAAGTATGAGGAATGGTGGTTGCCGGGCTTCGGATCGACTCCATATGTCCTCCAAATCCCCATCCTGAACCATGCGGTGAGCGCAGAACTGGCCCTGTCCGGGAGTAATGCTCAGAGAAGGACCCGCTTCGGTAAGCCCCAAGCATGCTGTTGGTGTTGTGGCCGTAGGTCTGTGCTTGTGTGGGCGAGACGCCAGGAGGGAAACCATACGTTGTTGTAGCCGAATCCCCCTCAAGCCCATGGTGTGTTGGTGGGCTTGCTCGGTGGGAGGGTGATCGATCTTTCGGGCTACCCAGGTCAGGCGGGCTCCCGGCACCGGAACCTCCAATACTACCAACTCCACCCTGACCATCGCTGTAGGAGAACATGCCGGCGTTTGGTACCCGCGCAATTTCGCTGCCGTTGGCGGTCTCAACAAGCAAAGACAGGGGCACGTTGCCGAGCGATGGGCAGCCTGTTGACAGAAATTCAGGCGCATCGGCCGTGACAACGTAGATGCAGGAGCCGTTCGCATCTGGAGATCCTCGCTGAACATGCGCTGGGCATCTTTGAGAGCCAAAGCTGATGGAGACGTAGGGTGTTGATGCTGCCATGGTCCCGGAAAGGATATCGTATTGACTGGAGACTCTGAGAGCGACCTTTGTGCCGTACGTTCCAGTGCCGGGATGGCAAGAGAGGACCGTGATGTTGGAGCTCGTCTGAGGTAGGTATTGACCTGTTACGGCGTTATTGGCCGCAAAGGCAAGCTGGTTAATGGAGGCGGCATTTTCGGTCTGTTGTGAAGCAAATGGCTGTGACGCGTACGGCGGGTATGTGGACTCTGCATACCCTACAAGCAAACATGGCCGGATTAGCACTTGTACAGGATATGGGCAGTAGTATAGATGGTAGGTACACACCTTGCAGGTGAGTCTTGTAGGCAGCCATGGGCAGAAGACCATTCGGGGAATTCCCGTCGAGGTCCCCACCGTTACGTGCTGCTGCTTCTTCCTCTAGCCGAATCGTCAGTGTCTCCGGAGAGTCGATTTGCTCGTCGACTATTATGGTCCGTTGCGGATGATAGCCGGGCTGTGTCAAAGTGAGAACATGTGTTAGCCTCGAGTCTCAGGCCGAGGTGCGGGTGGCGGCGCTGTCGGTCACGTATTGACTCTAGGCTGACTTACCTCGTACACCTTGTATACAGGCTGTTGGAACTTGAGGGACGACATTCAAACTGATTTGAGATGACTGTAGTTTGTGATGGGTATTTTTTTCGCGGAGCCGCGTAGAGATGTGATGAGTTTGCGATAGATGCTAGCGGTGGAGAGGCAATCAGCACTGGTGTTAGGACCCAAGAGGAGGAAAGAGGAGGAATGGAATGACACTGATAAAAGGGAGACCGAGATGGTGAGAACGTACACGAAAGTCTCTAGCACTTTATTTGCTGGCTGTTGGACTGGCGGATGATGAGCCGTTGCCGTCGGAAGCGCTACCTTGGTACGTTGAATTGTTGAAGCTTGGGGTGAGATTTGATTTGATGCAGCTATCCCGAACCTGTTCGCATAACTGGCGTGTCAGAGCGGCGAGAAAGAGGGAGAGCAAGAGAAGCAAACGAGAGAGCGTGTGGATAATGAATGGTATTCAAGACAGCGACGAGACACTTGGTTTCTCCTGGGTTTAAGAAGCTTTGCGTGTCTTTGGGGGAGGTGTTATGTGTAGAAAAGGGATCGGGGGAACGGACCATCAAAACCGTTCATTGCTGGGCAAGTATATAGGAATGAAGAGTCAGGGCCAGGAATGGAGGATGTCTGAGATCTAAGAAGGGGAATATGACGGCAAGTCGCACATCACCCGTCCGGCTCGTCTCCACTCCGTATGGGGAGGCTACCTTGTCCCTGTCTGTAGATACAAGTGGGTATGTATCTCGATGTTGGATGCGTGCTATCTCCGGCCTGGGTGCAGCAGCTGTGCTTTCACCTTGTCAAGCCGGCAGATGACGACGTCGGAAGGCCAGGTAGATCAGAGTGGAGAGGGAGTGGAAAAGCGGGTAGACAGGGGGGGGCGGGTCGGAACTCAAACTGGTCCGGCCGTTTAATTCAAGATTGTTGTTATGTTGTTGTCTTTGGAGGGGGACATGCCAATCATGCAAGGGTAATTGGATATCGGGGAGATCACCACCGCTGGGCGGGGTGTAAGGTCAACGTACCCAGTGACCTCGCTCTTCTGGTCCAGTTCAGTGACAAGTGTGACTGGTGACGGGGGAAAACGAGGTTGGCTCAACTAGCCCGGAAATATGCAAATGCTAGGGGTTACGGACAAAAGGCTCGTTCATATACCAAGTCAGTTGGAAAAAAAAAAAAAAAAACCGCAACATGACCATAAATTCAATAAAATATGATAAAAAAAATCACAAGAAAAAAGGCATGCAAAAGAAGCACTGCAAAAAAAATCAAAAGCAAAAATGTAACAGAGTGGGCAAATGTGAGGGCAAGGATCCCTCCAAGCGCAAAAGCCAGGGGACAAGACTGGAATGGGGAAGCTGACCTGAATGAGGAAGACTAGCGCCGTGTAAGTGGACGTGAACACCCAAGGCGAGGGGGGTGAATGTAGCCACGAACTAGGGGCAGGGGGGGTCTCGAAAGACGGGCCAGCAGCAGGGGGTCGCTGAACAGGGATGGAGGGATGGATGGGTTCTGTGTAAGCGGAGCGGAAGGGCTGGGCTTGGGCGCGCAGGGATGGGTTAGATGGGTCTGCGAGGCGTATTAGCCAGAGCCATCATTGGACATTGCTGCTGATGGGGAACGAACCGGGGAGCTATGGTAGGTGTCGATCTGCGTAGGCCCAATCCCAGATCAGCTGCTGATGCTGCTGCAGCGGTGATTTCAACCCTGTGATCCCAGGTCTTGTGTACTTGCAATCTGCCGCCTCGCTACCAAGATAGGACCGAGATCTCGCTCGATGATGGTGATGCGCCGTCCAAGGGAGATGCGCAAATGATTCTCTGCCAAATTCTGGTGCTTTTTTCCGGGACCCGCCGCTTCGCACCACCGACCAATACGGCCTTGAGCGCTCCGAGCGAGCGAGTAGACTGTACACGATCTGATGAGCGCTGCCAAGAAGGATGTGCTCCGTCTGCTGTCCAGCTGGGAAGGGTGCGCGCCGACGACTTTGCGAGAAGAAGAGGGCAGCTTGAGGCAGCCTGTAGGCCTGAATGGTCAGCGAGCATTCCACTGCCATCCGTCCAAAGCGATTGGGTGTGCTAGAAGGTCGACAGAAGGGGATCATCGGGAATCCCACGGAGCTGCAACTGCGCCGTGGGAGGCACAAAGATCATGCCTCCCCCGTACATGCTGCAAAGGGGGGTTACATGCTAGGGTTCATGCCATCAACTCATGGCAGAAACGGTGGTTGCTTCCATCCAGAGACAGATTTGCCGGTACTTGACCCGCCTCCCCCCCGTCTGTCTGCCAAAAACGAAAATTATTACGCAGTAGCTTCTGTTCCGTGACTCGGGATACTGGAATTTGGGTCCTATCCGAGCCCCATCTGCTGCTGCTGCTGCTGCTGCTGCTGTCATCTCGAAAGCACACAAGCGCGCGTGTAATTCCTAGCGCATGGACTTGGCCGCTAAAGGATCGCGCCAAAAGCCCATGCAAATATGCGCCAAAATCCCACGGCGTCTGGCCCGTGGTGTTGGGATGCAGCAACGCAACTGCGCAGCGGATGGGCAATAGTGTGTGTGTGGAATGGGGCATGACCGGGAAAAGGAACGTACCGGCTGGCTTTGGATTGTCGATGTTGTTGCCAAGTTTTTTTCGCCCTCAAGTTTGCAAAAGACGTTATCCTTGCCACCTAGCAGTAGCTCTATGTCTTGTCGGTGCTTAGTTACTGGCAGGCGACACACATTGTCTGCGCAGGACTTGTTTGTACGGGGGGTACAGGACGAATCGCAATCCACAGGTGGCTGCCTTGCCGGAGTCGAGATTCACCTGAAGAGCGGGGGTACTGTCGTCTCTTCGCCTGCTCTCAGCACGCGAAGACGTTTGGTCTCGAAAGGGTGTATGTGGCAGATGTCGGGCAGTTGGGCCAAAGAGCGTGGTGGCAGTCTGGCAGAGGACCGTGTGGGTGTGATTTTTAGACACAATAGCCGAGACAAGACAGAGGATGATATCTAGCCAGGTGGAATGATGAGATATGGGAAGAAGGAGAGGGCCGGATCACAAGATATAAGGAACCGATGATGGTGTCAACGTGGGAGTTCTGTTGCAGTGAGTACACTGACTGGGTATGGAACAGTACCCGAGGGGGAGATGAGGTACGCGAGTACGGTAGCTCCTGGGAAAGGCATCCCGGCACGCAGTTGGTGACTCGACAAGGAAGGAGCGAGACGGGGAGAGGCAGCTCTGGAGTGATGAAGACGCAGCGCATCACATCCTCAACCCATCATCCTCAGCAAGCATATCGGCAACCATGTGGATGGGAGTTGCTCTTGGCCACCCCAACCTGACCATGACGGTATGGATGAGGCTTCAAGACGGCGGTTTCTGCTCTTGGGGCCGGGCTGGAGCAGCAAGCCATCGTCGCAAATAAGGTGGGAGGCGCTCTTGTCGCTGCATGTTCTGTATGTAGCTGTACTAGACCTGTGGTGGACGGCTTGGGTCTGGCTGGGGTTGACATTTTCCCAACGTTAGCACCACATCACCCACTACACTACTACATGCCCGACGTCCATTTGCGTCTGGATCAACTGCAACTGCAACTGCACTGGAGGGTTCCGTCTTGGCTGTATGTCTCTTGAGGTCTCTCTCCAGGGGTCAGGCTTGGGGCGAGATGGGGGGGAACTGACGAAATGCAGACCACAGGTGTGGTTGAACAAGCAGTATTGGACTGTGGCTGATACGGACGTACGTTGGTGAATTTCTGGTCTCTCTTGATGGATACCATTTCCATATCCTCTCGAGGGTGCAGCTTGGATTGTTTTCCTTGTCCAGCATCCATCTGCCATGGAGTTCCCCGCCATGGACACCTGCCAGGCCTTGTGTGTGTATGGATGGTATGTGTGCTGGGTGCTGGATGCTGGATGCTGGGTGCCGGGTGCTGTGGGTGGGCGGACCACAGAGACGGAGACAGAGACGCAAATGGAGGCAACACTCGCAGCAGCTGATGAAGTACAACAACAACAACAACAGCAGCAGCAGCGCAGCGTGAACCCGCAGCTGGCCGATGGGAGAGATGCTGCTGGTAGACCACCAGACGGGCAATGCTGCTCGGAGGCCAAAAGGTTGCCAGGATGCCCGACAAGCAATCGGTGCCGGGGGGCCTGGTGGGAATAGTCCATTGCCTGTCGGGCTTGTGTATCGCGAAAGGTGACCGAGCCGCAAGGGGCCGTTGCCCATCCGTATCACTGGTACTGGTCCTGGGACTGGTCCTGGGACTGGCAGTCATCTCGTCGGGTACCATTCCAGCATCCCGTCTCTGCCCTGGATCTGTCAAGTCCTTCCTCCTCTCCTCCTCTTTCTCTGCTCTTTCCTGCCTACAACGGTCCCGGTGGCGGTGGTGGTGGTGGTGGTGGTCGTCATCAAGGTTGCTGCCGTCGCCGGGAGTGCCGCCTCCAGCCTCCCGCGTGCGCAGTGTGGTTGCCGAGAAGACAAATCATTTCGGTAGTTCGGGATGCTGGTGTAGCAGTGGGAGTTGTCGGCGTTGGCAGTTGGGTGGTAGCAGGTAACGTCCAAATCTCGGTCATGACGGAGAGAGTGACATTGGCATCCAAGTGGTGATGCTGCCGAACAAAGGCGCATTGAACAACTGAATGGACCACCCACCATCTCAGCTGCCGTCAGTCACAGAAATGGACCGGCGGTCTGCCGCAGACGGACTCTCTCCCTTTTGCCAACTGCAGTGCGGGTGGTGGTCATTGTCGCACCTGCCTGCCATTCAGTCATTCGATGAAGCATTCGTCATCTCGTGAAAACTCTGACTGAGCTCCTTCCCCGCCACCTATCTTTGTGGTTCGTTCACATCAGGCATCGCGGCGATCAGACTTTGAAGCTCATGGTGAGGAAGGCGCGCTCATGCAGTGGTTCTTCCGGCAAGCTGCCTGCTTGAGCTGGAGCTTCCGTCGAGTACCTATGATTAAGGATCCACTTGGAGCTGCCCCTGTGTCCAATTAAACTCGGATGAAATCAAGCACCGACGGCTCGTGACGGTCCTTTGTCAGCCGCCAGTTCCCAAATGACCCCACTTCCACTTGGCAGTTCATCTGATTGCCAAACCAGACCCTGACTGCATTCAGTTCTTCCTTCCCGCTTCAGTTGTCTCGTCGGACGTCGTCCAAATCTTTCAGTGGACAATTCCATTCAGTTCTCGACATTGGCCACTGACCGTTCGCCATTCGTTGCTCGAACCCCCACCACATCTTCTGTTTTCGTCCCTTTTTCTTTTCTTTCTTTTTTTTTTTTTTTTTTTTTTTTTTTTTTTCTTTTTGTGCCCTTACTTTTCCCGTCTCCTCGCACTTGATCAAGACACGATCAAAGACCCTATTTCGAGACGGAACAAGCGCGACATGTTACGCAGACGTGCCAAGCCATCACCCTCGCCTTTCATCTCCCGGGTCGTAAGACGAGAAACGATGTCGGGACTGCAACACGAACAGAAGAGGTACCTCTAGTGCTCGGCACCGATTTCCACTGGACGGCGACGTCAACAAGCCTGATCACGAACACGACGCTAGCCAGGGAATGACAGACGGACGGCATCGCCATTGCACAAAAAGGGCAAAAACGTCAAATGCCAACAAAGTGCTCCCGTCCACTCAATCGTCGAGCTATTCATGGCTGAAATCAAGTTGCAGCCTTTGCACCACCACAGCACCAGGGGACTGCCCAGGGACGGGTAATGGCGACCAGGGACACCCAAGATGTCGGGATCAGTCGGTCGTTGCTGATGATAGAGGGGGGATCAAGACTCCAAACACTTATGCAGGCAGTATCCCAGACCAGCAGACAGACTTCTGCAAGCACTCAAAGCTCCATGTCCATTTTGGTAGTCTCTCGAGTCTCGCTCTCTCGCTCTCTCTCTCTGCTCTCTCGCCACGATCCTACGGCCGTACTCAGGAGAAAGCGTGCAGCCCAGATCCCACACGTTCCCGACATGCGTAGTGCTTGATGCCCTCTCTGTCTGCGCTATCTTTGCACCTTGCCGTCCCAGCAAGATCTCCACGATCCAACCACTGGGTATGCGAGGACCCAAGGCTAGCAGCCTTATTGCGGCAAGGTGCTCGATTCAATCTGAAGGCATGTATCATCCCGTCAGTAGGGCTCTTGGAATGGCAGGGTGAAGAAGCGATTTTTAGCCTATACATGCTGCTACCCCAGGTCACTGCCCCCCTGTCGCTGAAGAGGCACTCGACTGGTGCTGTACAATACCGGTCAGTATTGTACATACACAGGACCCTTGGGTCGCACCGCCGTCCACATTGTGCACTGCAACTGTACAGTACCTCGACAGCCCAGGTTCGTAGGCCTGCTTGAACCATATCGCTGGATTCTCGCCATGATTCCCGTCCTAGCCTTGGTGTAGCAATTGGACCTGCCCCTGGGTAAAGATCCTGAAAGTACATTGTCATCAGGTTTTCATCTGACTGATTTCCAGAACTGGTGGTCTAGGTCGACTTACAACCTAAAGCAGTTCTAGTGGCTGACATGCCTCGACAAACTACCAAGAATTCACTAGCGCAGATCTCGTTCGGTAGTGATCCGGTGCAACCACCAGGGCAACATGTCGCAGATTTCGCAACTCTGCTGTCTGTCCCATGTCCTGCACCCACCACAGTACAGGTACGTACCGAACGCGCCGCTCCCACGCGCTCTTTCGTCGCTTGATTCGTCCTCGGACCAGGATGCTAACCGCTTCTTCCAGGAGACTGCTCCCTGATGTGAAATCCTTTTCTGAGAAAAGGGTTTACTGCTTGGCTACCCAGGAACGTGGCCTATTCCGCCCGTTTGGATAAACCGGCCATCCACGAGCTCTACACTACACTACAGGCAATTACCGGGATTTTTATCGCTGAATTGGTTGGTTGCCAGGCACAGCCTTGTTACCGTCCGGCATGGTCGGCCGAGTCCGTTGTCAGATGCGCCTCCGCATTGCGAGCCGCCACCGACACACACACACACTGAAATTGCAACCCTGTGCCGAGTCTTTCTGGCCAGTTTGGGCTTAATCCAGCGTGGCAACTCTCTGGCGATCTGCAACTTGCTGAATGCCATGTGCGTACGGCAAATCGACACGCCTTTCAACCCATCAACGGGACACATCAAGACGGCGGGAACGCGCCCCGCTAACCGGTTGCCAATCCTCGAGTCAGCCAAAAGGCATGTTATGACGATTAGGGCTTCCGCCATAGCTTCACCACAACAGGGCCGACCTGGTTTTGGCTGTCAGGGTTCGCATGCCGACTGGATCGACCTTGTCTGCCGCCCTATATGGGCAGTCAATCGTGGAGACCAGGCTTGAAACACATCAACGGCCGTACCCAACCTCCAATCCCGGACTTATCGAGTACCTCGCAATGTCAAGTTTCACCACCAATGCAGACGCGTACGCAGGCGCAGGCGCCCTCTTCTTAGTACACACATGTCGATTTCCGATAGAGCGTCCATCTGCGTGCGGTGCGCCTCATCGGCTCTTGAAACACCATCTTGTATCCCTCGGGTCAGCTAACAAGCTTTTCTCTCGCTTTTCCCATCAACACGCGCCTTTCGTCTGTCCGGCAAGTGCCAATCAGGCCGTTGTGTTATTGTGCTTCTCGTCATCGACTCTGCTTATGATGATTGATGGAGCCTTCAGACCATGCATGCCCTCTGACTTCATTTCGGTATTCTTGCAACGAAGCCAGGTACGCTCTGTCGAGCTGCGCAACACGCTTCCAGTGCCGGGTGTGGCAACATGCGTAAACACTGCTCCGACTTCATCGCAGCACCTGCCGTACCTCGAAAATGCGCTAACTACTGTCATCTCAACCTGCACGTAGCCGCAAGCCCACTTCATCTCCTCTCCCCCCTCGATCCTGCAGTAATGCGAGCACTATATATTGTGTATGCGCTGCCGATTACGAGCTCTTACGTCCGTATGACACAGCTCAGCGGGAACCGCAGCGCCTCGGTGTCACCATGTTCCAGTGTCAAATTGGGGAAACAAAGTCTTGCCCTGCTCTCTTCTCCCCAAAGACAGTGCCGCTTATCTGTTTCTCTCAACATCACTCGGGCAAGTTTGATAGAACCCAGGAAGCGGACCTTCGCCCCGATCGTCAGCCTATACACGCCACCAACATGGAAGACCTCGTCAGGCTTCTCGACGACAAATACCCCGAACACTCATATCGGCGCTATCACGGGGCTGGACGGTGGCATCGTGATCGGTTTCTTCAACGTGCTGCTCGTCAAATACAAGGCCAAAACCTTATGTCGCTTTCCAGCACCCTTCACCATGCCACGGCGGGTGCCTCGAATGCTAAATCTCAGACATTATTCCGTTGTGTGAGCGATACCGGATCTTATTCCTTGTGCCTGCATGGTCTCATTACAAGGAACAATCGGCTAGATCACGTTTCTGCTGGAGGGCCACAGCCTGCTGGTATGGTTTTGTTCCTCTGAGTCAAGGACCGTTCCAGAATCAACAGATACGGTGGGGTGGGGTGGGTAGTAGCGGGAGGGCGCATCGCGCTCAAACGGAGCGGTAAAAGAGCAGCAGTACGTGGGAAACGGTATTGCTACGTTGCCAATCTGATTGGCCGTCCGATCCGCGTTGTTTCGACCGGCAGTGTGTCTCAGCATGCATTTCTTGGTTCCGCTGATGATCAGGATCCAGCGGCTCGACCACAACGGGTTTCTGAAAAAAAAAGAAAAAGAAAAACGGAGGACGAAACGGCCAGGGCCCTGCCAACCGCCGAGATGAACCCCTAGCCAAAACTCTACGACTCAACCGTAACCAAAGCACCGGGAGACTCCACAGATTTGAAGCATGATCATGCTCGTCCCCGCGTGTCTCTTCGTTCAGACGCAGATATCCGGGTTGAATCTTCCCGGACCAAGCAAACGTTCTGGCCAGCCGGCGAGATACATGACATGATGCAAACGCGCTCTATCGGGAGGTGTCCCCCATGACTCGCAGTATCAGTACATGCTATACGGCAGGGAGGACCGCCATCAGTTAGGTGATCTCCATGAGGCCTTGTCGGGAAAGAAGTGAATAACAAGTGCGGAGTTAAATCGAGCCGATGGCAGCGGGCAACCGCTGTAACGTTTTACGGGCCCAGTATGGGAGCTATAACGATCGCGTAGTGTTGCTTTCTCCCTCGACGACCGGGATATCACGGATCTCATGCTCGTTTTGACAGCTGGGATGATGGGTAGACAGAAAGTTAGGCTCTGAACACTGAGCAGTCACGGCCACGAACTGTTTCCGACGAGTGTGGATGGACACCGGATCGTTGACAGGGGCAAATGCGTGGGGTCTCGTTGTAGATCTCATCCAGACGGAAGGCATGCGGCAGCTCTCAGGGGGGGAAGGACAGGCTGCTTACTCCACAGATCGAAACGGCATGGTGCTTGCGGCTTCTACACTAAGCCCACTGGCTCAAGCGGTCAGAACAGAGGAGGGCGAGCGGACGTTAACACGTGGATTCCCAGTCTGACGTTCGCACAGTCCCAAAACGGGCATGACTGGGAGATGAGTGCAACTCCATCGACTTTGCCCACCCCAAACACGGGCCCGAGACCGCCTCCTGTTATTTTTTTTTGTACACCTTGATGAGTGTGGCCATTCACATCCCCTTCTGTGCATAGGTATTTGGTGCACACAAGCAGTTCGGTGCCGAAGATGCTCTGCGATTGGGAACATTTGCCCGGCTGGAGCTGCACTTTTTCATGAATAAGCGGCATGGCAAGCTGAAGGAAGATAATGTCTCTCACAATGGAGACTGCCTGCCGCAAAGCATGCTCCCTCTGCGGCCCTTCGGCCCAGCTGGGCTCTCACCCGCCATCTATCGCCCGGTGGCTTGGCTTGCACAGGAAACCTATTTTGGTGGTCTTTTCTCTCACAACACCGGTGAGTCCTTCTGGGATTTTCCTGAGCATCCCAAACGAGCTCTTCGCATCATGTTACAAGAGCGCTTTGGGCCCATGGTTTTGTCGCTGTTGGGCCGTGTCGCCCTTTGGGACTGCCTTTCTGGTGTAAAGGCGCCCTGTTTGCTGCAGCCGCCTCCGGAGGTCGCCCGGCTCTTCTCTCCCTCTCCATTCTCGTCTCGTGCGTGCGAGAGTGCGGAAGGATTTGATGGGGTATCCCTGCCACCGATGGTTGACCTGTGTTTGTGTTTCCTTTCCATTGCGGTTAAGCACCTGCCTCTACGGATACCGACGAGAGATTGACAAAGGAGGTGAGGGAGGTTCAGCGCTGACGGACTTCACAGAAGGGTGGTCGTGGTAATCTCAGGGCTTGGTGCTAAGGCATTCGTTGCTTTTTTCTGCTCAAGGGTAGGTGTTCATTCGGAGCCCCCTTTTTCTGTGGTGGTCCTTTGCTCACCCCGGGGTGTGTAAAGCTGATAGAAACAGAAAATGGCCCAGCACGCTCGGATCTGGCTGGGGTTGGATGCATTGGGATGCATTGATCGCCGACCAGGAACAAGGTGCCCTGGTTATTATGATGGCCCAAACCATATCGAGCAGTACGATTGCTGGGCTTTCCGATCCTAGCGTGCGCCCATCTTCCCAAGAGCTGGCTCGCGCTGGCTCTCTCGGACTGGCTGTCCACTGGGGGGCAGCCCCTTGCGAACCATGGTGCCCGAGCGCTTTCAGTTCGGGGACATGTGAAGCCTCTACACTAGTGCCTCCTTTGGTCCCCGGCGCCAGCACTGGTGATCTCTTTGGCGGGGCTTGGCGCATGGGCACCCTGGACTACCGCGACGTCAACCAACAAGACGGCGCAGCTGTCGTCACCGCTGTGCGGTCAAGTCGTCGACCATCACAATGGAGCATCAGCATCCCGCGACCTACTAGTCACTAGCCAGGCGATAACGTGGCCATGGGGACCGGCTCTGAATCTGTCACTTTGCCGTGCGATCGGTCTCTTCATTGCACGCCAAAACCGCTGAATCGAAACAGACCGCCAGAAACCGCGCAGTGTCAACAACACCGCGATGATGCACACCTCACCTCGTCTGGTTGGTTCCCCACGGGGGCAGATGTGAACATGTTTGAGATGGCGATGTCGCCAAATGCGTCAGAAACGAGAACGCCAAACCTTAACCCAACTTCGGCAAATCTCTCCACGTACCTGCGGTATTCGATGGCCATCGCCGCCAGGAGGCCCGATATTACAAGCAACCCCCGGTCAGCATCAAATGCATCAACTGCATCTTGAAATCAACGAACCCTCTGCAATATGCGGGCAATAGCTCCCCGGTCACCAACACCCTGGCCAGTCCGGGCATTCAGAGTTGCTTTTGCCGCCTAGGCCTTCAATAACCACACCCACCGCCAAGCCTCCAAAGATTTGA